AAGAGTGCCCATATGAACTAGATTCTACAAATTAATTCACCTAAGATTTGAACATAAACAATAATGCTTGTTAAATTATTAGTAAGAAAAATGAACTTTAGAAATTATAATTGCCAAAAAGCACCTAATATATCGTACGAGATCATGAAAATTATAGACTAAATTATTGAAGCAATTATGTTGTGTGTAAAATTAAGTGTGACATTGTTCTTTTACCGCAGATACTATATTATTTTTTTCTGAATTTCTTATTCTTCTTATGCTAAGAACATAAATGAATCACATAGGACATCAAATAGGATATTAAAAAGTATAGGATAGGATATTAAAAAAAAATGGAACTTTTGAATTGTAGACGTGGGTACAGAACAACGTCTCTCGGGCTATCTAGTATATATATATATATATATATTAATATATATACATATATAAATGTGTGTATGACGATGTGTGCATCTATAATAAAAAGACATGTTCGATATCATGTTTACCTGTCACGCATCGTTATTAAAGAAAAATGTCTGTTCTAGTTTTCTCGAATATGATACACGTGTTCTGCGTTAAAGCACATTCGTGAAGAAAATTGTCAAGGTCTCCATGTCAATTTTCACAATATATGACCAGAGCCTCACAAAGTATCCTATCGGAAAATTTCTCTGCCTAATAAATTCTAATTAAATACTCCTTTCAAATTGAAACAGAAGGGCTAGTTAAATAAAATAGTTTTAGGTGGTGATATTTCCTTATTAGCCAAGATAGGACATATGAATAAATAATAGTATGAGAAATCATCAATTATAAAGTCGATATTTGTGGTTTATATTTTTTAAATCATTGCAATTAGAAATGAGGAAAAATTATTTTTAATATCAGCCAATGTAATTTTAAATACCACAACGTATCGTCAAGAGAAGAAGAGTCCAAAAATCTTAAAAAATCGATCACATGATTAATGGACGTGAGTATCAACAATAGAACATACTTTGTTCCATCCAGACAAAGTAATATATAGGGTTGTTCGGAAAGTCACTTCGTTTTTTATACCGTCAGAATTTAACAATATTTTTTTGAACCTAACTAAATCGCACCTAAGCCCTATAATTATTTTATGATTTGAAAACTTATATTTTGAGGCTTGGGTGTAAAAAAATCTAATCAATTACATGCAGTAATTTTTGGATGGTGTCACTTAGAATACGTAAAGAATTAAGGAGCATTTTCGACATATTTTACTCTTTTGCTATAGAAAATGTTAAAAAACTATTTAGATGTAAATGAAATTGACCGATGTGTACGGAAATGACATGTTGATAGTACGACAGTGCCAAAATTGGTTTGGTAATGAGTTTCATTCTTGGTATTTTGATGTCCAAGATGCACCAAATCCAAGAAGTACTGTTGAAGCTGATAAAGATGCGAGAAAAGCATTAGTTGATGCAAACCGACGAATAACAATACATGAGATTCCATTAAGTAAAAATTTATCAAATTTAACAGTACATGGCGACTCAAAATGTCTGAGATTTTCCTCAAAACTCAATGTATGGTTCTCATAGAAAGAAACCTGTGTCGTCGTCTCAGAAAAGTCTTGAAAATTATCAAGTTTTGAAGCGTATTGTCACTAGGAATCTCAAATGGGATGTAAAAAATACAATACACGCAATTGCCCATGAAACAGAGAAAAAACTGCTCAAAAAAAGGTGCAAAGCTGAAATTTGCCAGAAAAAGGTGGTGCAGAATGTTTGGTAAGATTTTAAAGGTGTTGTTCATTTTTCAGCTTTTCCAGGATAACATAACGGTTAGTTCGAGTGTCATCAGGAGGATAAACTAAGACGGCGTAAGACCTCACATAAGTTTGGTCAATTGCTGTTCGGACGTCTTTTCGTTTTATTATATTGGCCATGAAGGTGACAAACTTCAAGGCATTATACCTTTACACGGAATGGTTGCTACTCCTGGTAGAGGGGGTAGCGGAGTGTTTTAATTGAACTATTGGTTCACTTCAAAAGGTAAAGTCCTCTTAACAACATGTGAATAACCAATAAAAATAAATATATCTTCTTTCATTATAACTTAGTAACAAATCAGTGATTGTAATTAGAACTGCAACAAATACGTAATATACAAAGAAAACAGTGTTTAATACAATCCACAGCAACAAGGGTTATATTATAACCCAACAACCTGAATTATCGAAGGAGAGTTTTAATAAATTCTATAACTACGTAACACAAAAATACGATTGCCAAAAGCTGTTGAAGCTCGAATGACTTCAATGACACATCATCATATTTTCCAGACATGTCGTCATCGGACCATTATTTGTTCCGGCCACTAAAAAAATTTTAGGCGGTAAAACCTTTACCTCAAATCAGCCTCTCAAAAAGCACTTTCATCAGTTTTTAACCAATAACGACCTACAAATTTATGATTTCGGAATTATGCTAATACCAGAAATATGACAAAAGATTTTCGATCAAAACTGCCAATACATAATTTATTAAAGTAATGGTTTATTGTACGAAAATTACGTGCACAGATGTCTACTTTCCAAACATCCCAATATAAAAATATTATGATTATTTCAAATGTTAATATAAAGTTCGACAACCATTCCTCCATCCCCCAATGTTTACACTTGGGAAAACAAATGACAAATATCTTTTGCCGAAATTTATTCATCTCCGACCACGCGTTACGTTATTATTGCTATCAACAGGCGCGGCCTCCACGCAAAATTATTTGCATAACCGATACATACCGCACACCACAAGTAAAGTCATCATCATCGTAGGGGCATGTAATTCCATCTCTTCGGGAAATTTCAATGTTAGCGCAAAATACATTACACATTACCGACACGACACCATTATCATATGTACATCGAAATATGTAGGTCGAGGCTTAGAAACGTCAACATCATGACATATTGTCGCCATCGGGCGAGGGTAACTCGAGAGCCTTTCTAGCAAATATCGTTTTAACCCATACAACCCCCGGTGTGGAGATAGATTGATATTCGATATATGTAAAGCATATTTTTATGAAGAATTTTGAAGGAAAAGAGAAATAGTTGCTCTCTTTATCTAGTTTCGGCTTGGTATCAAGCTAGTTTTTACTTGAGGTTGAAAATCTCAACTATGATTTGAGTAAAGAAGAGACAAAAAATTGTAAGCATATATAAATGAAGAAATTGGAAAAAATTATGAAATTTACATAATACCAAAGAAAATACAAACATGGAACCTAAACGTTGCAGTAGTTGAGTACAACCACATGATCAACATAAATAATCAAATGAAACTAATTCACACAAGAGAGAAAGAGGGCCATAACTGGATCATAAAGAAATCTTCGGGAAAACATAAGAGAATTTAATACATGGTAACATAAAACAAGGATGAAAAAATGCGCATATAGAGGAGGACGATAAAATAAAGAAAATGCTATTAGTGTCAAGCCTACGGTCATCTAACAGCACACTGCACAAACAGAATATAATATGGTTCATGTTGGATCATGTGCAGGAGAGCAGAAGAATGTAAAGCTGAAGAAAATACATGTATGTTTATACAAATCGTTAATAATTGCATTAATATAGACAGATTGTAGATAATATAACACAAATCTAAGAAATTTTTATTAATTTCATTACTGAATTCTAAATAAATCTATAAACTAATTGCAAAGATAACTCAATATATTTTATATGTAAAAGTCATCAGATCTTAAATATGTATTCCTTATAATGATTCATAACTTTGATTGTATATGGCCAAGCAGGTGAAAATGACGAATGCTTTGTGAATAATTCATCTCATACTTTCTGTTTTATAAAGAGGTGATTCTACTTTGTATTCATATACTTTAAATAAAATGTGATTCATGGTCCAAAAATTTATACTGTACATTTTGATTAACAAAATTTAATATATCCAAAAATTATTGGAAATTTATAACTGTAATACATAAATCAGAATTTGTATAAAACAATTTTGATTTATGATAATAGTTTTCATTAAATATAGGGCAAATTCATAGATTTTATTGGAATATTACAATCTTTGCTGAAATTGCTAAAATTACATATATGCGGAATTATTGGTTTCTTGTTAAAGAACTCTAAAATTCTAGTCTAATAGTTTCAAGGTGTAGTACGAATTATTTAATTGTTTTATAATAAAACTATATATAAATATAAATTTATAAATATATAAATAAATATAAATTTGCCTTAATGCAACTGAGTTTTAGCAACTTTTAAAATCGTGACAAAAAAAAACTTGAAATTTTGACACTGTCTGTTATTCCAAACTTTGATGATTTTTTAAAATTAAGTATCTTAGGGTAGGGTAAGTTTTAATAATCGCAAAAAATCGAAAATGAAATTTTTTATATATCTTTTCGTTTCAGAGGTTTCTGAACATTTTGGCATACTTTAGAGAAAATGCATGTATGTGTGTGTGTATGTGTGTGAGTGTGTGCGGATACAAATTTTCGTCGACGATTTCGGTAACACGGATCAACCGATTTGAATAATTTAGAAGACATTCAATTCGTATTGATGGAAATGATATTTGAGGAAAAATCGTCAAAAAAATCAACAACTAAGTAATTGCAATGATAAATACCTGTCATAAATAACGTCAATGTTTGAAATCGATGCAGCCATTTTTGATAAAACTGTGACGAAATGTCATTTTTTAGCTCACATACACATACATTCACTAATTTTATTGCCAAACGATTTAGAATGACTTGCAACGTCAAGAAAACAAAATTAGAAAATCGGAATTACTGGATTTAAAAGTATTTGCGTAAAATTATAAGCAAACGAATTTTTTGCACTTCAAACTGTCACCACTATTATAAATTTATTTTTAGACATATGGCGTCATCTTGCAGTACTTTGTCGCACTAAATAGAAGCAAAGATTGAAACCATATAACATGATTAACATTTCAAAACATAACCTTCAATATTGTTAGTTTAATATTTTGAAGTGCTAATTTGATTTTTTGGAAATTAATTTTACTAAAAAGATATCAATAATAACCAGCGGTTCAAAACTGAAAGAATACAAAGTATATGTAACTGGTCACTTTAACAATAACAAAATATTATTATTTGCCTTTGTGCAATATTTTTGCAATAAAAGTAAATATTACAATTTAAAATGTCGGCGCAGCCTGCAGAAAATCAAAATGCTTTAGTTCTCGAGCAATTCCGTTTATATGCGGAAGAGCTGGACGATAAACATGATAGACATGAAAGAATAGTTAAACTCAGTAGAGATATTACAATAGAAAGCAAAAGAATTATTTTTCTCTTGCATACCATTGATAAGTAAGTAGCTAGGACTATCGAAGTTCAATTATTTCCATAATTTTCCGTGTAAAGTTTATATAAATTGTTGTACACCTTTTAACATATGCTAGTTCAGATTATGACATATGACCTTATCAATTAATATATTTTTCTAAGTGAATCCAAGAAATCTAAAGTACTCAAAGAAGCTGAGAAGCGACTGAAAGCCTTATGCTCCAAACAGTTCAAAAGTATTGCATTGGAATTACTTAAGCAAGATCCATATTTATATTTGAAGGCATACACAGCAGGACTGCAGGTGTATATTTATCAATTTATAGTTAATTAAAATAAAGATGAGTTAAAGATCAATATTGAATTTTCTGATGCCTTAAATAAAATATGTATCGATGATATCTTACTTTATATATGAAGCATTACATATATTAATTCAAATGTTATTAGGAATTCATAGAAGCACTAACCTTTTACCAGTACATTGAGGATGGAAAAATTAATCACTGGAAGGACATTCAACAATTACTTTCTTATAAAATATCTGAACTAAATCAAAATACAAAACACTCTAAAGCTGACACTGTCCTGAAACTGAATGAAACTGATTGTGAGAAAGAAAGTAGCCAGAAAGATGATGAAGTTGTTTGCACATTTGTACCACCACCTGAATATCTTTTGGGTCTGGGTGATCTTACAGGAGAAGTCATGAGAAAGTGTATTCTTTGCGTTGGCACTGGAGATACAGAGGGTTCCTTTAAGGCTTGTAAATTTCTTCAAGAAATGCACACTGGCTTTGTTTGTAAGTAATTTTAATCTGTCATCAAAACTGCTTTGTCTATATTTAATTCTGATATGTTTTCACAGCTATAACCCAAAATGGAATACACAGAGAAATATATCGCAAAGCCAATACATTACGTCAGAGTGTTTTGAAGGCAGAAAAGGTGTGCTATAATATCAAAGTCAGAGGAAATGAGTGCAGTAATTGGGCTTTAATTGATACTGCAAATGAACGACTTGAGGAAGATGAAGGATTCTGTTGATACTTCTTTCATTTATTTGTATTAGAATTACATTTTATATCTTAAATACACTTTCATACTAAGAAATATCCATGTTCATGTGTTCTACTAAATTTAAAATATTTTTAATTCTTTTTGGGGAAAGACAATTCATAGATCAACTTGGCACCAACTCCAATGGAGATGAGGCAAAGTCCCATTGTGAGTTGGTATAAGAATTTGTCCAGTGGACCTCCTTTTAGGTGGACAGGCAGACCATTATCAACCTAGAATAATAATTGTTCTAAACACGAATACTACTTTGCCATATTCACTTTAGTAATTTTGATGAATAATTAACCAATGCAACCTAATTTAAATAAATTGATTTATAGACATTTTCAAGTAAATGTTGAACACTTGTTCTCTTGTATCTTAGATCTGAAAATCTAAACAAATCAAATAATTGATTCATAAAATAGCTCACAACAAAATGGATTTGTTACTTATTAATAATAAGTTGTCCAAAGCCATAAATTGTTCCTGCCAAATCCTCTATATGTTTCAAATACTGGATAACACAAGAATATCAATACAAAATTTAAAAAATTGAAATAACTAGGAAAATATTTCACTTGTTGTTTAAGCACTAAACTTAATATAACATAATAAATAAAAAAAAGAAGCAATTGTATATGAACAAAATTATTATTACTTGGAATTTTTCTTGAATGGCCTTGATTTTTTTGTATCCTGGATGGACTTCTCCTGATGCCCTGACTGCTGACTGAGTAATTTGGCGGGTGTTGCTTTGAGCCAGCTGGGAGACTCGTTGCATGAACTGCAAAAGTTAAGTTTGTGCCCAATATAGAAAAACACTTTAGCAGCTACAATATAAATTTAAATAATAGTCTAATCTAAACACTATCTTGTAACTAGAACAAAAATGACTAAGAAGTGTTAATCATGATATAATTTTGTGTTATGAATACTTTATTGAAGTATGACAAAATGATACTATATAGTATCTAAGTATGAGTATTAGGGCAGTGCAGCATTAGATTTTGAGGATTTGCATCATTTATCAGAAGTAAAACTAAAGAACTGATTTACCTTCAACATTATGTACTTGATAGAGTGAAAAAACTTTTGGTTAGGTTATTACATAACTTTTCATGAAACACATATAAAGTCATCTAACAAAAATATATTATATGAATTGTATAAAAAAGCACTTACCCTGATGGAATTCATTGTGGTATTATATTTTAAAACGCCTGCAAATTCTACTTCAGAATTTCTAGACAAATGTCAGAAATTTGGTAACAGAGATGAAGAGCAATCGAGTAACAAGGGCACCAACCTTCAGTGACAAATAATTTACCCAAGGCGCCAAATTCAAATGTATATAAAAGATTATGAAAAAAAATTCAGCCTTATAAAAAATATATTGCATTTGTAATATATAGACTATTGTATATTATGTATGAACTATCACTAATAACTAGTTACTTATTTAATCAATTTTTCTATAACACAAATAATTTATAAAGTAGACATTTGAACTCATAGATAAATAAGCATAATGAACTATTTATCAGAGAAATGAAGATATCAATGACTGGAGAAAGGCACATAAATGAGTGAAAAATAGAATTATAGAATCTTTTATAATTTGAAATAAGATTATATGAAAATAAAATATAATATAAGCAATATACTATTAATAATATAAAAGAAAGTACTAAAGAATAAAATTTTCATATGCATTCAGATACAAATGATGAACTAATAGTAAAGGTCATATTTCATATACAGACACTAAATTCACATAAGTGAATCATTTAATTAAATGTTAAATAAAATCTTCAACTGAAAATATAAATACATTTTAATTAAATGAGTATCTCCATTATATATTTAATATATTCTTTATATCTTTATATATTTTGTGTAGCTACTATTTTATATGTGTGTGGATGTGTTTGTATGTTATATTCACATTTTTATCAAAAATATACAAATGTATATAAATAAGTTCTATTCACTCTGAATCTGAACTCGTTGAGCTTGGAGGCCAATCAGGTTTCGCATTACGTGCTTGTTCATGAGCTTCCTGCTCTTTTTTCAGATAATCATTTTGCTTTTCAATTATCTCATTACTACTCTTACAACTAGCATAAGTATCTAACAATTCTTGGTTCAATACTAAAAAGGACTGTCCCCAAGAAAATTTACTCAAATACCACTTGGCTTCATCAAATTTTCCAGTAATATACATTGCAGCCGCTATAGCTTCCACACAACTTAGTTGACATGGTTTTCCATAATTTATAGGATTTGCAGCTACTAAATAAGGCAGTAATCTTGGATATGGAGTCTTCATTTTATGAAAAGGTATTGAATCAACTTCAGCCCATGAACAATCAACAACGGCCAAACCAGAAACAGAAATAATCTCAGCGTCTTGAGGACTCACACAATTTGTGCCGACAGGAGTTAATACTAATCCTGGAAATCTCTGACCCAATTTTAAAGTATCTATCAAGCCGTGTCTGGCTAATTTTCGTCCTGAACATTTTTTTGGGTCACACTGATTGAGGTCCCACATGGCTACCTTGAATTTTGGTGGAACGCCCAGATCATCTTCAGAGTCTGAACTTTTGGTGCTGTCAGTCTGGGATTCATGAGATTCATTACAACTAGATTCGTTTTCTGAGCTACTTGAAATTGTTAGATCAGCAGCTTTTTCGACTAATTTGCTACTGGAATCTTCAGAATCATGTTTATAGTATCGGTGTCCAAATTTGGTTTTTTGGGAATTATTTTTTCTATTGTCCCTGCGACGATTCATGACGTATTTGTTATAAAATTATTTACAGTAAACTTTTATAAATATACGTATACGATGTAGCATTATAGATCTATCACTTTATACTCACTTTTATTATTGATATTTACGACTGTATAAAATGACAAAATAATATAGATTAACAAATATTTCAATTAGTAAAAGACTTATTGAAATGTCATATGCAACTTATGTATTTACAAACACATGACACATGAAGGCATACAGTTAGCATATTATTTTCTAGCTGAGGATTTTGGTGGATGTGGCTGATATTTATTTATTAAAACTTATTTTTTCATCGCAAATTATTAAAATACAATTATATATTTAATCAAGTTTGATTTATTTTGCATTTTTGACGTCTTTAACAAAAATATTCGCCTTAACCTTCATTAATTTATTTACACAAAATTATTTTACAGTGACACCAACATACGCCAGCTGTGGCAAAATTTTTACGTGGTTAGGTTGAATAATTTCAAATTGCGGTTATAGTTTAAATCCTTAATTGTATAAAATTAGTTAAATTTTAAGATTAGTTATATTAATCTTTAAATAAAGTCATGTACTATTGATTCATAATAGCATTAACCAATAAAAAAATTCTGTACTTTCGTGGTACTAGTGAACAAATTTAATTAAGCCATTATTTTCAAATTTACATCACTTATCTAAGTTTACTGAAATCAAGATACCAAATATTATTTAAATCTCTTACTTAACTAAAATTATGTATAATGCCTATATTAATATATTATATGTCAATCACATTTACAACTTATACAATAACTTTTTTTATTATTAGTTAAAAATTACTCAAAACACATTTACCTCAACATTATGAAAGAATATTATATCTAGTTGCCATAATAATAACCTTAATAAAAACAATTATATAAAAGTTAAACCTTAAATTTACACCTGATGAAGAAACGTGCCTACTTTCTTCAGCTCCTAAAAATAAAGAATTGGAGTCCATTTCAGTGATCGAAGTCCGACTTGCATAAGGATCTTTTAAAGCTAAAATAAAAATAAATTATAAATATAAACAAATATTAAAAACATATGTTATTACTACGATTTTATAATGAATAACGTACGATTTCCCCAAGAAGTGAACTTTAAAAGAGGTCTGGACGTGCTCCATCCATAGCGATTTCTACTATCAACAGAAACTTCATATAAAGTTCCTGGTACAAGTCCTCTTAAAGAATATCCAGCAGTGTGAACAGGTGCTGTAGAACAATACAATAATAATTGAAACAAGTAGCAATGGAATATTTTAATTATCTTATAATTCAAAACAAATCTTACCTGACGACATATCTCCTGGAATCGTTAAAGATGTCCAATCCGAAGTTTCCTTTCGTGAAGGGTCTGTCACGTCTCCTAAAAAAATAAAGGTATTTTATATGGTTAGCATATTTGATTCAGTTTCAAATAGAAAATGATACCTGTTAAAATTGTTCTAAATTGCAGTCGGTATTCGATAATAGGAGATAGGCTTTCCGTTTGCCAAACAAGTGTGTATGAAGAATCCCTAACCATTCCAGGAGGAATGGATACTGTTGATGACACTGCATCATCCGGCAGCGTTGGTAGAGGTCCAGTCTTAAAAACCGCCGGCTGAGGAACCCCTAATTAGAAAAATTATATTGAACAAAAATAGAGTAATGTTGCAATTTATCAACACAAAAATGATTCATTACCAGTAAGCTCTACGTGCAGAAGCTGCACTCCTATTTTATTTTCGGCCCGGCATTCGAACAGACCTAGATCAGTATCTCGTACCGTTTTGAATAAAAGAACACTGCGCCTGGTTATCTCAGGTGAATTCTCAGTACTTTCTTGTTGATCTGTAGGGGCCTGAAAAATATAGGAATAAAAAATTTTAACTGTTAATTTAAAAATTTGGAATTCTGACAATATCTTCACAAATAAATAAAATTAAGCAAAAAATATTTCATATATCCATTTGACTGTTTAATTTTTCCTTATCCGCGTTACCATTTCTTGGTCAATCCTAGACACTCGTCCAGCAGATAGAGTGACCGGAATTCCGGATCGAAACCAATGGATATTGGGCGCAGGTCGTGCAGTTGCCGAACACTCCAATTGGGAGCGCAATCCTGCTCGCGTATGAACACTTCGTTGAGGGCTCGTCAAACGAGGAAAAGCTTGAGGAAATAAATTACTTTATAAATATTAAGATTCAAATTTCAATTTTCCGTTTATTACACATATGTATTTGTTTTAACTTACTTAGAACTCTTAATATGATTATCGCAGAAGCAGGTGGGTTGACACCATTGTCAGCAATGCATTCGTAGTCACCATCTAAATCCGGACCTGTTACTTCAAAAGTCAGACTTGGCCTGCTGTCTATTAGTTCAAGTTCTTGGCCCTTAAATAAATTTACTAATATTTCTCACTAATTCACATAAAATCTTGACTATTAAGATCAAATTAATTATTGGAATTAAATTTCATAAATTATGCATTTGCACAAGCAAATATATATGCTCTAGTACATTTTGCTTATGAGTCATATGACTCATAAGCAAAATGTACTAGCTATTAGAAATGTAATTGATGGGGCAATTCTGCCATAACAGAGCTCATAAAATAGAGTTGTCATGGCGACGCTTATCTATTTGCTGTGCGAATAAGAAATAATGTTACGATAACTGCACCATCTAAAATTCTGTTATCATAACATTATTCCTTGCTAGTTTATATGTAAAATACGCTTTATCGCACAGCAAATAGAAAGACATTTTTATAATATTCACTACCAAGAAGAAGCATAAGAGAGCGTTGCCATGACAACGCTATTTTATGAGCTCTGTTACGGCTGAATTGCCCTATGACGTTCTTTATCTTTCACAACAAATATTGTATTAACCTGTAATTAACTGACATTAACCCAAATTAGAACGATTAAGCATTTATGAATAGATTGTTTCAGATTTATACTCCATACAATTTTCCGATTAGTAAATGTGAAATTGAACAGTTTTCGCAAATCTCAGATAATTAAACGACATCTAGAAAAATCTAATATTAGTGAGCACAATTATTAACTTTAATAATGTGTTATTTTATAGTTTGATATTATCATATAATTTAGGGTTCTTTCCATTACAGGTCTTTATAGAAGTTTAATTCGAATTGATTCAAATCAGTATTTTTTCACTAGGATTTAATAGCATTCAATCACTAGGATCGGATATAATTCCTATTTGGAGTATAATCAAAAATAAACGTCCAGTTTACTATAAATATTAATAATAATAACAACGAAGAAAAAATGTATCATTTCATCATTTGAATCTAGTTTGTTTGGATACAATTATAACTTTCTTAGAATTTTAAAGCCTAATAGTTATTTAATAGTTTCAGTATCAAATTGCATGATGTGACATTTACACGCGTATCCTTGATGTTCCCAGAAAATTAAAAAAAATATTTGAGAAATATGAATTAAATACCTTACACTTCCAGGTAATGATAGGTGTGGGTACTCCGGTTGCATGACAAGCCATGTGAGCTCTGCCGCCAACTGGAATTTCTAAAACTCCGGATTCAGGCTCAATTATTAAAGACGGAGGTACTAAAAATATACAGGAATAATATAAATACAATTTATAGGAATAATATAAAACAATATAAATATTATTATCGGTATGATCATGGCCGGATTTAGAAATTTGGCGCCCCGGGGCACTGACAAAAATGCCGCCCCATCCCTGAAATTTTACAAACTTTCGAACTTTTTTTAAAGCAATCGCGCTGCTTCACCTGCGTAGGAACACAATATAGGAGCGCGTAAGCGCCGCGTCGCAGTCCAACGAATAAACAATGTTACATAACTCATATAAATGTAAACAAAATGTATACTTATTATTAAAATATTTTTAAAATATCTGATAATTTGATGTGCATATGTCTTATGATCACTTTTGTCCACCAAATGTTTCTTTTTCAAATTTTTTTATTGGATCATCAAAACCGCTAACCTGCCTCCCAAAATTTAAGCAGTTATTTATTCTATTTTTTTTTTAATAATATTGGACGCTATTTTCTCAACAACTAAATTATCATTATTGGCATTTTGGCCCGTATCTTCAAAACAGTTGGACCTGCTTTGGCCAATAACTAATCAGCACGTCTCCTTAACAATAGGAATTGAATCATTTAAATCGGTTGATCCGTGTTCACTTGAATAATTAAAAAGTATTAGATTTGTATTGAAGGGGGGACGTGCTCATTAGTTTTTAGCACGAATTACGAAAAATGGTAATTGAGATTTGATATTTCTTCTCTGAAACAGCTACGCAGCGCGATTGCTTTGCAAAAAGTTTATAATTTTCAAAAAATTTCATAATACAAAAGTGTTTTTTTTTTCATTTCATACAAAAAAGTCAATTTTTTTTTCATTTTCAATTTTAAAGCTCTTTATAAAAGGCACAATAAAAATTAAGGCACAATGTCATGCGTCATTAGTTCAAATTTTTTTTCAACGCTATAAGCTTGGAAGTGCAGAAATTCATCATTTTAAGAAGGCTCATTCATTCATCATTTTAAGAAGAGAACTGAAGAAAATATTTTTCTTAAACTTTCAGCTTGTTTACGGATCTTTATATTAGCCAAATTGACAAATTTGATAATGACTTATTAACCAATTTGATAATTTACGTTCGGAGAGGAAGGCAAGGCAAAATAATAAATTTTAATAATCGGTTAATTCAACCCAAATTTTGCATTGCAATCGTATTATGTTTTGTTAATTATATTTCTTGAAATGAAAAATGTCGTTAAAAAAAAGTTGATTATATTGTATAGAATTTTTTTCTCACTATCCAAATTTTGCCGCCCTGGGCAGTAGCCCCGATTGCCCCTACTGTAAATCCAGCACTGGGTATGATAAAGATTATGCAAGATATCACGTTCAAAATTATAACAATCATGTCTAGAACCTGAAAACAGCAATGAACAATAATTAGTTCATTGCCAGTGCGTCTAGCCCTTCAACTTAATTCCATGACACGAAAGTGCTTATTATTGTATAAATAGTCCTTTAAAACAGAATTTAATTTATTACCTTGGACTTCTATCGTGTGTACTTGCTGAGCCAGACCTCCTTCCGTTTGGATTTGACAAGAGTAATCAGCGCTGTCACTCAACTGGATTCGTGTGATCTGAAAATTGTGTCAGTAAAAAATAAATTAACTGCACCTTTGGAATTCTACATTTAACTACACCCTATTTGTATTTACATGGTCCGATTACTGGGATAATTGACCCATTCAAATCAATATAATGTAAGTTTAATTGATATCACAAATAAGCAAAATTGTTTGAAGGAGAAAGAAAGGCAGATGGGCCTGCAGATGGGGTTGACTGAAGACGTTCTAAGAAAATTGAATGATATTAAACATTAGGAAAAATGCAAAAGACTTTTGCGTTTTTGAAGTAAAACTTCTAATGCGTCTTGTAACAAGGTTCAGCAAGGGAAAATAGGAAAAGCCAGAGCAAGAGTTGCATGAAAATATTAGGTTGTCAAATATCTCCCTTCCGCTTTTTTGCTCTTGGTTTATAATACAAAAAGGCGGAATGGAGATATTTGACAACCTTATATTGCAGATTGTCTGAAAATGTTGTGAACGGTATAAAAATATTGTAAAGTGTAAAAATGCCTGAATTGTCCAAAAATGTCTGAAAATGACGAAAGCTATCTAAAAATGGCCAAAAATAAGTGAGAATAACGCAAACTGTCTAAAAATGTCTCGCGGAGTATCTAAAAATGTTTGAATTTTTTTAAATCGAGCCGGAGATATCATGAAAGTATTTTTTGTTCAAGAAATATTGACTCCAAAACGGTTGAACCTGCCTTTGCCAAAAACTAATCAGCGCATCTCCCTATCATCGAATGTTTTTTGAATCATTCAAATCGGTTGATCCGTGCGCCCGAAAACGTGCACGAAAAATGGTATCCATACATACATACATACACACACACACATGCACACACATCCAATTTTTCTGAGGTATGCCAAAATGTTCAGAACCCTTCAAAACTGAAGTAATGTAAAAATTTTCAATTCTACTTTCTGCACTCTTTGTTCCTTATCTCCGAAACGGCTAGAGCTGCCTTAGCCGAAAACTAATCAGCACATCTCCCTATCAATAGGAATCGAATGTATTTTTAATCATTGGAATCAGTTGATCCGTGCGCCCGACAACATGGACGAAAAATTGTATCCATACATACATACACACACCCACACATACACACACATCCATTTTTTCTAAGGTATGCCAAAATGTTCAGAAACCTTCAAAACTGAAGAAATGTAAAAATTTTCAATTACGATTTTTGGACGATTATCATAACTTACCTTACGGAAATTTAATACATTTTGATCTGGATAATTTTGCTCCAAAAATATAATTGAAAGATGCGATCAATTATGAAATTTAAGTTAGATTATTAAATTTGGCTAAATTATATTATTAAAGTTTGTCTAAGTCGTGTTATTAGTCACTCCAGTTATGTTTCTTTTTGTTATCTACTTGAGAGCGGGGGAATAGATTTGTTTTTTAGTTCTGAAATATTTTTTAGTCCAGAAAAAGTTTGAACGATGATCAAATATAAAAAAATTAATTACAAACATAATTTTTTTTTATTAATTAAATTATATATATGGGTATTACATGACGTAATGGTTTAACTCACGGACTCGTGCGGACGAGGTCGATGTCCATTTTCGCTTAAAAATATAGATCAAAAATATGTTTCCAATTATAAATAAGCCCATTTTGGGCACTGCGGTGTGAAATGATAATAAGAAATCTCTCACACTATTCTTCCCTGAATTCAGCTGGAGTTCAACTCAGTCTCATGGACCAGCCCTAGGGCAGTACTACCCATTATATCAATTTAACCTTACGTTCAAATATCACAATTGCTATTTAACGTCATCTTCCAATTAATACTGCAAATTGAATTATTCCAAATCTATCAACTTATTATTATTATAACAACATAAATAATTCTGAATCCATTCATAAAGAAATGAGTATAACCTTTGCATTCATGCTTGAAAGTCATCGCCCATTCATAACAAATAAAGCGATGTAACGTTATGAATAGAGAATTACGGATTAAATAATTCGGTTATGAACCATTAAATTTAAAGTGCATTTAAGAGGTGGGTGATGGTGATATCATACATTCAAAATATTTTGAATGCAACGAATTAAATTATATTATTATTATTATTATTATTATTATGCGTTTACTTCCAGACTTCCGTTGGACCAGAGCGTCATTCTGTCCGGAAGTGGATGCTCGCTGTGCTGTGAATCCGCCAGGAGCTGGTCGTTCCGGTACCACCTCAGGAGGAAATAAGGAGCTGAAAATGGTAAATGGTAGTAAATGATACACGAAAATAATTTAATACATGATAAAATTTAGTTTTATACAGGGTCCACCAAAAAATAAAATTGTTTATTAAATATCATGAATTTTTAATTATGCATATATGAGTTAATAAAATGATAGGCTTACAAAATATTATTTAATAAAAATGTAGAGAATATTACTCTTTTTAAATAAAATTAGTGAGTTGTGTATACATTATCATTTAGTGATTTGCCGATATTTTTTTTTTGATGAATTTATATTATAGAAGCTTAAATGTTTCTTACAATATGTGTGGTTTTGCTTCATAATTTTATTAAATTGGAGAATTTAGAGAAAAGTCGTAAAATACGAAATACTGTATTGATTAAAGTTGAGTAGAGAGATTAATAATTAATAAAGAATATAGATAAATATAGATTATTGTATAAATACTATTTATACTATAATCCATATCTATCTTAACCTTTTTAATTCAAAACATTAGACAAGTTATAAAATTAATATATATATATATATAATTTTGTTAATAGTATTTAGCTGCAAGTTGTAGAAAAAATCACCAAATGATAAAACGAACGATTAAATTCCTTAAAAGCTCAATTTTATTCATATTTAATTATTAAATAGATATTATATATTTATTAAATATATATAATGATAAAACAAACGTTTAAACGATTAAATTCTTGAAAAGCTCAATTTTATTTAATCATATCTATTTATTAAATAGATATGATCAAAATTGAGCTTTTAAGGAATTTAATCGTTACATAGATTTATCATTTAGTGATTTCCAGATAAAAAGATAAAATATCTAGATAGAGATATAAAAATAAAATCTCAAGTAATAATTATTTGGATTAGTTAATGATAATTGAAAGCACATATATCAAAACGTTTAAAAAATAAAGCAAAATTACGAATTAATCTTTGATCTTGGGTTTGATTCGATGTATAATCGAATAATAATAATGAATTTTTTTTTTACTTGTGTGTGTGATAATTTATGGATGTTAAAAATTGCAATGTCAAAATACTAAAACAGAGAAAAAATAATTAGTAAAATTTAGGTAAAGATAAGTTAATTTTGATGTTGAATTGTATGAATAAAATTTTTGGAAAACAGGTAAGGATTTTGAAACATCATTATATTTCTAGACATTTCGACTTACAATTCTGTCATTCATTAGTAGATACAAAAATTTTTCAAATCAAATTGAAACAAAATGTATGTAATATCTACTTTCAAATTTGTTTCATATCTACTGACGATGACATTAAATGGCATATCAAAAAATAAGTGTGTTTTAAAATCTTCACCTTCTTATACTGCACATTTTTTTATATATTTTTTTGCCAAAAAGCCGATTATTTTAAATACAATAAAGATAATATCTACATTCACCAATTAATATTAATAAAAAATAAAAATCTTGTAAATCTGTAAACAAATGTTATTAATTATTATACTCACTGTTGTGGTAGCATGGCAGCAAAATAGTTTCATTTTCCGGTGTCCTCAAAGTCATCGGCATACTTCTAAAGTTATTATCACATATCACTTTGGTAAAAATACCAATTAAAACTAAGAACACAAAACACTTCATTTTGAATCACTATGAACTAATAATTAACAATCTATGAATAAGAAAGTTACAACATATTTGTAAAAAAAATTGTTTGGGTGAGTTTTTTTAAAATTGTATAAAAGCACAAAACATGGTAGTTGAATTTTGTTGTTATTGAGATATTTTTAAATAATTTTGATCGTTCATATTTTGATCCAGACCTTGTTTCTCCTATGAACTTCGACAACGAACTGATCAACTCAACTGTTCAACTTTCCACTCTCGACACAGACAAAAGGTTAGGAGTACAGTGAACGTTAAAAATTTAAAAGGGACATTTGAAATCTTTTGAGAGTTTATTATCTACTACATTAATATATTGTTTACAAATGTATTACCTTCATTTATATATAATGAATAATTGACCACATGTGAAATAATAATTTTCATTCCAAAATTACATATTAATTACATAAAATAACTACCAGAATTTGTAAATATAATTTAGTACCAGAATTTGTATCACTGTATTTCGGAATATTGGTGAAAATGAGATTATCTTACAATTAGCTACTTTGCAAGATATACGTTTAGTTCTCACTTTTTTATTTTCATTTTTTAAATCATATTTTAATCGTTATAATAAACATTCTCAAAAGTAACTTGGATTCATAATTTTTCAAAATATTACTGTTTTAGGAGAGAATAGTTATTATAAAGATCAAATAATAGAAGAAAATACAATAAAAATATTTCCAAATATACTCGTAATTTTTTAAGCGTTCTATTTCCATTAAACGCACTCAAGTTTTTTCCATAAAACTCAAGTTTTATAGCTATTTATTAATTAAATTGAAATAGTGATTTGAATCTAGATGATCAAGAAACAAAATATTTGTTTATATTTTGTTTCTCGAGATTATGAACCACATACTTCTACCGGTTTCAATTATTTATAACGATTAAAAATAAATTATGTTTAGCATAATGCGTTCCTATAGATATTTTTTTTCAGTTTTGGACAACGGTTAATAGTTTACATTTTAATCCTTAGATATATTAGATTATCACGTTACCAAATTAGGGGAATTTGCTCATGCCCTTTCCCATGATATGCCATTAATTTTTACCCTTATGACAAATAAAATTTATGAATGATCTTTGGTTACATTTAAAAAAAAATAGTAAGGTTAAGAGAACTAAATAAATCTCAACATTCAGGAAAAAAGTTCATAAAAGTAAGTACCATATTTTAAGTACCATAAAATCATAATATAAAGTAAGTACCATAATATCATGCTCTATTGTGGTTTTTATTTATTTAAAGTTTATTTTTGTCGACATTAAAACATATTTTATATATAAAGTAACCAATTCAAAATGAAATAAATTATCAATTTCTTTAGACGTTTCGGCACCTAATATGCGTCATCCTTCAACAATTCATAATAGAACAAAAACCAACAGTCAAAATTTTTTTTATAAAATTTTAATCGACATACAAATACCAAAAATAGCTAAAAATGTTTTTTCAGGAGAAATGATAGATTATTTTATGGAACATTTTTGGATTTCTTTATTTTTTATTTTTCGTTATGTTCTATTATTAATTAATATTTTATAAAAAATATTATAAGTTATAATATTTTTTTTATAAAATATTATTTAATATTAGAATGCCAGACCCTCTTGTTTTGTTCCTGCTGGTAAGAAATCTTGAATGATGGCACACATCAAGGGTCAAAATATATAAATAAAGAAATATTTTATTTTTTTCAATTTGACGAATTATATACATATATGCATTCATACATATATAAATATATATGAAATAATTAGCAACCCATTTGTGGAAAAAAGAGTTGAAAGAAAAACATTTCCTTATCAAAGTTTTCAACATATTTTTTTTGAAAACTAATTTAAGTATCTTATTTTTCTGTTTTTAGCCTGATAGGTATGTATATTTCTTCTAACTATATATTTTTTCATTAATTTTTTAAATATTTGTATTCATTGTATATTGAATTTTAGATTTGCTGAATGACAACACACATCAAGTGTCGAAACGTATAATTTGCTAAGGCTGCTAATTATTTCAAACATGTTTCAACGTTGAAAAAGATTTCAAGATATTATTTTTTGAAGGAAATGAATACATTTAGTTCAGAAAAATAAAAGTATAATAAGAGTACATAAGCCTTAAGTTTTCTTACTAATTTTATTTAAATTAATTTTTGCTGAGCATAAAATATCCTGTAACTCATAATCGATATTGTGTCTATTTAATAATAATTATAAGAGAAAATCCCAACTAATACGTTTGACCTAACAAGTGGGAATGCTCTCGGAGTCACATAGTCAGTAAGTCTTTTAGTAGTAAATTATATTACAGCAATTGACCATTATCCTCTATCAAAAGCCGCATACACGACACACTAAGAGCTTTTAAACGATTCCAATAATTCTGTATGTACCCTCATGTGTCCAATACAATGTTTGCTCTTGGTCTTTCTGTACAAGTTGATGGGCCTTTTATGTATTACTTAACATGTTCAACATACACTGATTATTTGTTCAATTTATTTATAAAGAACATTCGGATTTTTATCGTAATCAAACATCTTTTCTCTGGAGAGAGCAGAGTGAATCATATAGTACTTGAGAAAATGAGTAGATCAGCCAAAAATTAGTAATGGACATAAATAATTTTAATAACTCTACTAATAATTGTTCCTCAAGAAATTGGTTAACTTGATGACCAGTCTGAAACACCACTGCAATAGACATATATGTATTACAATTAACATCCTATTAAGTCATACAAATTTAAAACGGTGATTGCGCAAGATTTCCTAATTCGAACCATAATAATTAAGATCTTGTAGAAATGAGAACAAACATCTTACATCTATCAACAATTAAAACCAATAAATTTGAACATATGTCTAACGACAAACGAAAAAAATTATATGTTGTTCTACTTATAGTGTAGTAATTGAACAAAGCTCGTTTTAATTAAAAACGATTGCTGAAATAACAAAAACTTGGAAGTCAAGAATTGAGACGTCGCTGGTGAAGATATATTAATTAATCGCATTTGTAGGAGATAGTAGAAATTATATATAGCGTGATACAGATACGTTAGAAGATAATATAAAATTTTTATTACTTAATATTTTAAATTTATTGATGCATTGTAGAAAATTTCCAAAATTTTTTTCCCTTTTTTTATTTTGAACGCCGATGAGAACATTTTATATAAGTGTTGTTAGAAAACAACCCATTGGTTGACCGAAAAAAAATATCTAGAAAATGTGAGTATATGGATTTTGTATCATTGTAAAATCATTCGAAGCAATATTGATAATTCAAATTAAATAAATTAAGTAAATTATGGAAAAAATCACAAAAACCATATTACAATGTTAAACCAAATTCTGCTTAACTAATAAGATAATTACTTATTATGACAATAACCTCACCAGGAAGAGAAATGACAACCACTGGGATGCTTTTCAAAATCTATAGGTTTCGTTCTAATACCGATATATAATAAGTTGCAGTAAATTCCAGAAAGGCTATTTTCACTTAATAACATACTTTAGACCTGATCTGAATATTCTCATGAGTTTGAATAAAGATTTCGAGCCAAATATAGAACACAAATTTTGTATAGAGTTTTGTACACTTTCTTATATACTTTTTCCCATAAATTAATATCATGTATTATTTTTTCCCATTATTTGATAAAATTATACATACAAGTTTTTAAATAAAAGTGAAAGGTTTAAGGATAAATTTCTACAATAATTTATGTTAGTTTTGTATCAAATTTTGCAATTTCACATATGTATACAAACAATCGAACAAGTGGTAACGAAAATTTACATATTTCTCTTGTTGCTCTATTGTATTATTTAAATAATTATTTTTTATCATTCGTCACATATATGAAATATTTGATAATTGCAGACCATTTTCTTATAAAATAAAATATGTGAAGCAAATTAGCTCCGAATTAGATTAAGTATGTCATGATTTTATATACAAAAACAAAAAAAGTGCACAAAAAATATCGATGCCTAATATACTCATCGTTGAATTACAAAGTATTGAATTTTAATTAAAACTACTTTATTATTTACGGAAATGCTCTCCAATATAAAAATGTCAGGACGGTCCTAAAATACTGTTTTAAAACTTATTAAGATTTTTTTAATTTACTGATATTTTTTATTCATAATATGAAATTCTAAGCAATAGATACAAACGTATTTTACCAGAAAATTTCGTTATCTAATATCAAAAAATCGATAAAATTACAATATATAACTGAACTGATACACATGAAAATTTTAGAGAATTTTCCTCATACACTTCTCTCAAACATATTCTAGTTTCATCCCCAAATTTCAATTTATACCATTTTTAAAAAAATCGATAAGCTCAAAAAAGAGGCAAGAAAATGGTCATTTTTCACCGGTCATTTTTTGCGACATTATTCAAGATTATTAATCTCTTTTTCCATTTCGGCACGGTCACGTGACAATTTTTTTTAGACCCCCAACTTCAATAACTGCTAATTTTTAAAATTATTATTATTTTTAGTTTTTTCCATTTTTTCTGTACTTTTGTAAAGTTGATAAATAAATTAAAAATTATTTGTATTATAAATATTAAATTATAAAAAATGATAGTAAAAAAAATGGATCGCCTTTTTTACGATGATTTAAAAATGACCTAGAATTTACCCTCTCTATCTAACTTTTTCCCAACAAATCTTTTTCTGACCACCAGAATTTTATTTTATTTTTTTGCTAGCCGTGCAATTTTTTCAAGGCATGCATCAGTTTTAATGAAGGTTAATTGGAAGAGCAATTAAGTTCGCTCAACCTTCTATCTAAAACAAAACATATGTCTTTTATTAATGAGTGGCGCTCCACTCTTATTTTTATGATGAGAAATGCGTGGGAAAGGATTAAAAAATTACTAAACCGATAATCTACTATTTTATAGAAATAGACTCTCTATTTATTAATACTGAAAATTAAACTCTGTTTAATGGCATGTTCGAAGAACGTGCAAAAATATGTCCAAGCAAAATAAGACTTGATGAATCAGAATTGAAATTAAGCAACTTTTAAAATCGTGACGATAAAATTTTGAAGTGTTGGCACAGGCCATTATTTTACATTAATTAATATATTTTATATTTAAACCAATTTTGATAGGCCTATAATATTTTAGGTTGTTAGTTAGGACCATCAAAAAAATTGTCAAACCAAATTCACGAAAAAACATCAGGTCGATTGGATTGGACCAGAAACTAGTCAGCACGAATCCCAACTATATTTGTCAATTGAGTTCGTTTCAATTATGTATTATTTTTGCATATAGAATATTAAAATCAAACGTATTTATTTGTTATGGTAATGAGTGAGGAAAAAATCAAAATGCATTATACTATTTTATTAACATTTATTGTTATTACAAAGAGTAAGAAAAATCTTAATAATATCATTGGCCATTTGAATTGTCACTGAATCACACAAGATAGAACATATCTATATTAATGAAGGAACCAAATTCGATCATAACAATGAATCGATATACATATCTAAACTTATTCATGCACATACTTAAAATTACCTAAAATCTCAATAGCTGCTTTATTGAATAAATATATTTAGTTTTTCAATTATTATACCTCATGAGGTTATTCGATTTTGATGTTTTTCTCATATTTTTCCTAAATTGTTTTAACTTAACTTTTATTATTCGAAATTTTATTTATGACTAAGTTTTCTGTTTAAAACATACAATAGCTTTGTATTACCTACCTAACATATTTACAAGGATTAGTTAAACTTTCTCATTCACATAAAATCGATAATTGTGACATCAAGCAATAATCTATATATAAATAATATTGCAATTTTTGTTGAGTATTTAAACAAAGTATCAAGTGTCTCAAAAGTCTCTTTTATCAATTACGACATAAATAGAATAAAAGCAAAAACTAAATTTGACCAGGATTTTATCAATTTATATCGATTTCAAAAAGAGACTTTTATTTCTTTCAGAACTCTGACTATGAGTCCTGATATAAAATTCTGAGAGATTAAGTGATATGGTATAAAAAACGCCGAGTTTTATTATAAATCACATGCACAATTACAAATATTACATGTAGATATATTCTTAATAAGGGGTTGATCTCTAAAAACAGAGTTAAAATGATATATTATTATAGCATATAATATAATATAGGCTTTTGTTAAAAATTACAATTTTAACCATACAAGTTTAGATAACTTGCTAAGAAAAACAAATGGTTTGCTTAGAACTGGTATCACGTATTTTGTATAATTATAGCAGCAGTATTAAAATAAATCACATAAAACTGCCAGAATTTTAGGTGAATATATATAATAAAAAAATCTATATTTAAAATAGAAGCGCCTATAATGATTGATTCGAACGGCTAAATATTTTGCACTCATTCGAAAACTAAAAACTAACATTTGATCTCTTAGGCAAAATGCAAATCTACGTCAAATTTCTCGATATCTCGATAGTACAATATTGTTATTCATACTAATTTTCTTATAATTACAGTATGGCAAAAGTTACATTACCTAATACTTTAATTTTTGGTTAGTGATCGTGAAACATTTTCTTATTCCAATAAGTTTCGTCATCAAATAATTAAAATATCACTAAAATTCAACAAATAATTGCTGAATACATTCATTAAAATTTTTGTTCAATATTTACAAAAAAAATATTAAAATTTGGCATAATTTAGGCAATGTTGTATACGAATTATTTCTAAAAGGACGATATTGCTTTATGTACAAAATTTTAAATGTATTGTTTTTTTTTTCAATTTAATCCTATGTGGTAGAAGTATCATCTTGTTGATGATTTAGAAGTCCTTTCTTCTCTTCAGATCCTGGCATTAATCTCACATTATCTGAATCTGATGCACTATACATTGTTTCATATACGGGGTTTGCAAAATTGATCTAAAATCAGAAGATTTGTATAAATTAATATTGGAAAAATAAATTCTGTTAGTAAAACTATTCACAGTAAATTTAAATTAAATATAAATACTTACTTGCATAGATACTTACCTTAATAAATTTTTAGCAATCCTACGTATCAAATTATGCTAGCAAAACCTACACCAAATTGTTACACAAACTAGTAAAAAATATTCATGCTCATGAAAAAAATTCAAGCTCTAAACAGTTATTATGAAATGAATTCAATTAAATAGTAACAAAAAATGTGCAGGAATGATGTATGAACTAAAACCACATAAACATTTTTTGAATTAACAAGATTTTTGTGATTGATTCGGCACATTTATTTCTATCGCCTGAACTAAAAAAATTTTATAAGTTTTTTTCTGGCTATCGTAATGCATTTTTTTAAAAAAGAACCAAGGCGACATTTCAAAAACAGTGTTTTTATAATGTTGCTTATCATTCAAATATAAATAAGTACTAAATAAATACATTTTTTTTCCACCTAACTACAGATCTCTGATCTAACAAAACGAAGTGAAATATAATAAAAATTGCATGCGTTATCTACAGCATTATTTGATTTAAATTTTTAGTTATTTAGTTGATAAATCACATAATAGAATATGTTAATCTACATATTTTTAATATAATAAATAAAATATGTTAATCTACATGTAATATTAGTATAGGTTTAAAATTGATTGCTAGGTATAACGATGGACAATAAGAGGTCAATGAGACCATATATGAGGTTGAATATGTTTAACAAATTATATTAGATGTGCAAAAAATAAGTATATGATATATAATAATAAGTAATATGATACATAACATGAAAATATGAATGTTTGCAGTTTACACTATTGGGTTTGTTATAAAGCAATTGCAAACTTACCTTTAAGGGGCACACCTAGTTTGATAACCTAAAGAACAGCCATTTTTGGGAGTTTAAAAAAAAACGAGTGAATCCATATATTTAAAATTTGGAGGGTATATTTATACATGTTTTGAGAATATCCAGTAAAATTTTTGGAATAATATATTAAATATTTTTGAAATAACACGCGATCTGCGGCGACGCCAAAAAACTGCTGGAGTGATTGCAGCTTCATTCGTTAATAAAAATAAAAAAAAATTCCAGAAAGTAAAACATATTGTCTGTAAGATGACCCTCAGACAAAAAAATCAGAAACTGACAAAATGGCAGCATTTTGAAAAAAAGGTTAAATTTTTCTCAAAATTTTGGTCGTTTTTGGCCTGCCAAAATTCGATTTTTGATCAGATCAAAAAACTGGCGGGCCATCATATGGAGAACTATATAGAGGAGTTGCAAAAAAAATTGAGAGCGATCGGATCATTTGTCTCTCATCTGACTCCAGCAAATTCGAAAAATGCTATTTCGAGAAAAACGCGTTTAAAGATAAAATGATCGTTATACTATATACTATATATACATTTTTAAATGGCTGTAACTCAAAAACTATTTAAGATATCGATTTAAAATTTTAGTATGTTATTTTTAAAGGTATAACTTATCAAAATATGGAAAAATTCAAAATTCAATTTTTTGAAAATTCCACACTAGGTGTGCCCCAAGTGACCACTGTGTCTACAGTGTTATATAAGCATAGCATTTTGAATATATACTGATACCACATACTAGCATCAAAACGTAAATTACCAATAATCACATAATTATCAACTATCACTAACCTTATCAGTAGATGTCGGGTACGGCTGCTCTCTCTCAGTCGGTTCTTCCCCAAGATCTTCCAAGTAAATTGGATTCGTTATTTCCAAATTATCATTACGTAATCTGGAATGTGTGAACGGCGTATGCGTTCTTCTCCTTTGAATTACATAAAATGCTGCACACACCATTCCTACGACTAATAACACCACGGTGACACCAATGGCAACTCCTGCAATTATTTGACCAGTTTCGACGTGGGAATCCTCGGCTGTGGAATAACCTGTAGCCAGGGATGCACATCGAGAACCAGTATAACCTTCTTTACACCTGTACAAAAAACAAAACAAGTTAATTGATATAGCAATAAAAATAACTGGCAAACCAAAATTATGGTATTGGTGTACTTACAGGCATATAGGCATATAATCATTATCTCTCGGATATTGGCATGTAGCGCCGTTCAGACAATAATTTTCACAATCGTCAGGTATTTCGCAAGTAGAACCATGCCATCCATCAATACAATGACAATGTGGTACGGAATCGAGAGCTTTTAAGGTACATATACCTTTGTTTTCACAATGATTTTCACAGGGATGCTGATGACCGAAATAAATCTGCAATTGTAAAAAAATTAGATATTCTTATCATTCATCATTCAAGACAATAACAAATATTTATAGATCCAGCATGACATAATCGTAATGATCAATTTATGCAAATATGTTTAGTTAATTGAAACATGCTGGCGGAAATCATAATACTAATTTCTGTTAATTGAGCATTTCTGATCATAGTACTATATTATAGCTACTTTTTTGAAGATTTTTTTAGAATGATAAGTGTGTTCATAAATACCTCACAATTTTCTCCACCGTAAGTATCAGCACATCGACATAAAGCCAAGTTGTTTATAATTTCACAAATTCCGCCGTTCAGGCAAGGAGTTCGGTCTGCGCAATTGCTCATTGCTGTACCATTCGAACAGACTGAAAGATAAAAAAAATGTTATCAAATTATTTGTAAAAATTTAACATACAAACGCCCCAGAGGCGTAGGTGTCGTATCAGCTGGTTTAATTATACGAAGCCTCCAACGTTGGTAAGCAAAAATTAATAAACTTTCTAAATTTTCCATATAGGCGAAATTTATAGAACAACCAAAATCATGAAATATTAATGATTTAATAAATCAGTTTGCATAAATGATTTAATAATTCAGTTTGTCGGAAAAAAGCAAAAGGAGTGTACATTTTATTTAAATTGTTTGTAAAAATTTTGAGAAAACGTGCCAGATAATTAGTAAATATTTTCATTCTAATTTAGGAGAAAACTTTACGCTTTTTGAGGGTAGCCAAAAAAAATTTTTATATAGAGCCCCTCCAAAGCACGCTCTGAAACGCCCATATTTATTTGAAAGATAACTTCAATACGAAGCGAACTATATTATTTGATTGAACAGTCATAATTTTGCTGAACTATAAAACTCCCAAACAAAACTAGAACATTATTTAACCCTTTCCACTCGCTAATTCCGGAATTAGTATGTATTTTGCCATACTCAGGTCATTAAAAATAAATTAAATGCGGAAGTTATTAAAAATAAATTAAATAAGTTGGTTATAATTACACGAGTTACTTATAACTATTACTTATTATTATTGTTATTTTTATTATTTGATTAGCATTTATTTATTTATTAAATCCTTGTATATTTTCTCACTTTTTCTCTTTATTTTTATTGTCAACATAGTGAATAATAAAAAAAAATTCTCTTAATAAAAAAAAATCTTATATTAAACACTACCTAAAGCATTTAATATCTACTAATTAAAAAAATCTATTTATATTACAAAAAATATTGTTTTGCTGGAATTGTACAAATTACAAGAATGATTTATTAAAAATATAAGTGTCTAATACAATTAATATATATTATTATAATATTTTTAACAAATTTATAAAAAAAATGCGGTATATTTATTACCTTTATTTCAAGGCTTTTCCAAGAATATTCCTTTTTAACTTCCCGTAGGGCAAGTTATAGTAATCGCAAAAAAATCGAAAATGAAAATTTTTATATATCTTTACGTTTCAGAGGTTTCTGAACATTTTGGCATACCTTAGAAAAAATGGATGTATGTGTGTGTGTGTGTGTGTATGTGTGTGTGTATGTATGTATGTGTGTGTATGTATGTGCGGATACAAATTTTCGTCGACGATTTCGGGAACACGGATCAACCGATTTGAATAATTCAAAAAACATTCGATCCGTATTCATAAGGCGACGTGCTGATTAGTTTTTTGGCAAAGGCAGGTCAAGCCGTTCCGAAGATACGGGGCAAAAAGTTCCGAAAACGGTAACTCAGTTTTTAAGAGAACGGAGCGTCCGATTTTAATAATTCAAAAAACATTTTATTTGTATTGACAAGATAAAGAATCGATACAACTTTCATGAAGGTAGGTCCAGCGGTTTCGGAGATATAGAGGAAAAAGTAAAAAAATGAGCCATTTGGCGGTCAAAAATGATCATTAGACATATGCACATCAAATTATCAGACATTTTATAGAGATTTTAACAATAAGTATACATTTTGTTAACATCCCTATTGGTTCCGTACCAATGCTTATGCGTTAGACAGCGACGCGGCGCTTACGCGCTTTATATTTTGTCCCTAGGTAGTTAAAGCAGTACGATTGCTTGAAAAAAAAGTTCAGATCTTCCACAATATGTCAAAATAAAGAAAAAAAAATTTTTTTCAAAAAAAAAAAAATTTTTTTAAAAAAAATTTTTAAAAAAAAAGTTTTTTTTCAAAAAAAACTAATTTTTGTCCAATTTATAGTTTCTCAAAAATCTTATTTTTTAAAACTAATTTTTTTCAAAAATGTTAATCGTTTTAAAAAAAAATAATAATTTTTGGTACGGGAAGTTCCAGCAATTTGCCTTAAGGCACGATGCCCTAATTGCCTTAAGACAGAATTCCACTTACAGCTAGTTATAACTACAATCATCCAAACTTTAGGCTCACATTGACCACGTCTATGTCACACACAAAAAATCACTACACTTATTATAATTACTATTTTTTAAATTTTATTTACTAAATTTCCAAATCATTTCTATTATCAGCTTCGCAAATAACATGTATGTTCTGTTGATTGACACATCCTGACTAGATTAATAAACGATATGTATATTTAGCGCGGCAGCAAATAACTGAAATGCTGGGTTTTTCTGCAAATCCGAGAAGTGTTCAACTCAAAGAACTGAGTAAATCAAAAATACCCATGAAAATTCGATAAATAGTATTACACAATAATGACTAAATAGAAAATTATTTAATAGCAATAAAAAGATTTAACTTCTTATCATTTTACACTACACCGGCTTTAAATAATTTAATATTAGCCTTGAAACTATCGTACATCAATTTCGATTTCTACAAATACTTATGTGTTGTCAGCTGACTTTCACAAATCGCAATAATGCTAATAAGAAATAATTTTGCTTTGACTGTCATCATCAATCAAAATTGCTGCAATTTCTTTTTAAATATTGCATAAAGAATAATTTTCCGTTATACATAATTAAAGATTCTGTTATAAATAAAATTTAGTAGCTGATGTCATATATGAAATATTATGTATGATCTAGTAAATGTATATAGTTTTAATGATTGGAATATCAACTAATGGAGTGTATGGCATCGTGCCTTAAGCCAAATTGCTGGAACTTCCCGTACCGTAATTAAAAAGCTTGGTACGGAATCCAAAAAAATTCACACAAAATGTGTACACTTTATTAAAATCTCTATAAATCATCAGATAATTTGAAGTACATATGTCCAATAAACATTTTTGAACGATAAATTACATTCTTTTAACTTATTATTAATGAAAGTCCATAACCGCTGGACATGCCTTCCCAAAAATTTAATCAGTTCTTCATCTTGTCAATACAAGTAAAATGTTTTTTGAATTATTAAAATCTGACGCTCCGTTCTCTTAAGATCTGAGTTATCGTATTTGGCACTTTTTGCCCCGTATCTTCGGAACGGCTAGACCTTCCTTCGCCAAAAACTAATCAGCACGTCTCCTTATCAATACGAATCGAATGCTTTTGAATTATTCAAATCGGTTGATCGATGTTCCCGAAATCGTCGTTGAAAATTTGTATCCGCACACACACACGCACATACACACATACACACACATATATACATCATTTTTTTCTAAGTTTTGCCAAAATATTCAGAAACCTTTGAAACGTAAAGATATATACATATTTTCATTTTCGATTTTTTTGCGATTAGTATAACTTACCCTACGGGAAGTTAATAAAAGTTTTATGAATTTTTTATATAAAATTTCGGTTCAAATTCGAAGAATCAATCAGCCAAAAATACTACCAAGTTTCTTATTATCCTAATATTTGATAATTTTCAAAGTTTTCGAAATAATACAGAAATCTAACGACAATGAACGCTCTAAATATTTCTATTTTTGAGCATTAAATATGAAAATTTATACTTTCTTCCTAGATATTATATAACGCAATATTCAACGTCAATATTTACTTTGATATTTTCGCTATAGACATGTCCTAGTATTTAATTTTGGCTACACGTATAAATACTAATATATAATTTGACAAAAACAAACACAAAACCACAAAATGTAAATTATGTGTAGGTCTACTTGCCTATAAGTCAAATATTGAAAATTAATTCAAAATCATGTAAAAAATATCAGTGTTCTTGTACCCAAGGTGTGATACTCAATATCCCCATATTGTTTTTTTATGACAATTATTACTTACATGATTTTCCTGGATCCTGGTTGCACAGATCGATCTCGCACCGCCTGCCTGCATATCTGTCTGGACATTCGCAAGTCATTTGCTTCAGACTCGGATGACATATTCCATTGTTCAGACAGTGATATTTGCAAGCATCTTGCTCACATCTTTTGGCCGGTGTATCCACTATGACAACGGCACACAGGACCATTACTTGTTAATACACATTGACCATGATTTCTGCCAAAAGAAAATGAGATTTGGTGAGATTACAAATACGCTAAGTGTAATCTGGTTTTTAGTAGATATGATTGCGAATTAATAATAATATGTATTGTATATATGTAGCTGCATATTTTTTCTTACCGGCAGTGGTCATCGCAATCCGATTTTTGACAATATGTTCCACTGTATCCTTGAGGACATTTACAAATGAACTGCCCAGTGCCATCAGAAGTACAAACGCCAGCGTTTTGACATTGGAGACTTGTGCACTGCTCACATCTTTAAAACATGATAATAATTCTAAAGTGGTTGGTATTGGTATTTTGCCTTCGATGAAAGGTCTAATTTTGGCAAATGCCAAAAAAACGATAATCATTTTTGCAAACTTTTAAGAATTTTAAAATTAAACGAGTTGTCGTAGGGCCGTAATATTTTAGTATGATCTATAAGACTATGGTATCTACCGCCAAAAAATCTCATAAAAATAGTCGAATTTTTTTTAAAACTTTATTATGAGAAAACGACAAAGCCGATCTTTACCAAAAACTAATCAGCATGATTCCCAACCAATATCTTTCGAACGGTTTTTGAAATTTCAAACCCGGTTCAGAATTGCTGGCTAAAACGTGGACGAAAATTTTTTCACTTTTCTGCTATTTACAAATAAACGGCTTCGCTGATCGTCGCGCAAAATTGATAAACGCTAGTTCTCATCGAGATACATCGAATGGCTTTTAAATTTTTGAAATCGGTCCAGCCGTTTTTGAAAAAACGTCGATTCACGGCAAAAAGTCTGTTCACACACACACACACATACTTTTTCCAAATTTGGTCTCATTCGATTCAGAATAGCTTGAAACATCGAGGAAACATAAAATTAGCCAATCGAATTTTTTTATGAAAACATAAACGTGTCCTTAGATAAATTAATAAAAAAGGATGCATAAATAAATATATTTGTCAAAGGAACATCTTTCCAATTTATTCCAACCACAATTTATTGCCAAAATTTCTGATCTTACCTATCTCCAATAAATCCTGGTGCGCAATTACATTTAGGCAGATGTAACGCTGATATATAGCAAGTACCACCGTTAGCGCAATGATCTCTGCAAGCGTCGGCTGGTATCTCACAACGTTCACCAGTCCATTCTGGCGGACAATTGCACTTAGGTGTTGGCGGCGCATTTTGACCACTAGATGACATTAGATCGAAGTAGCAGAAACCTGGATAACGGAGAAAAACAATTAAAAGTCTTAATTTCTTATCAAATCAAAACAGCGAGAAAGAAAAACTGAAAATATAAAAATATATAAATGCTTAAATCTATTCTTCTCTAATTTACCTTTATTGTGACAATACTGGGAACATCTGTAATGTTGACAAAATTCTCCATCATAATGTGGTGGGCATAAACATTTAGGTACATTGTCATGAAGCTGACATACGCCAGTATTACATTTCAAGTTGCATAAAACGGCATTACGGCCTGGTTTACATTGAACCTGCCAAACATAAAAAATAAAAAATCAACTAATTGTAAAATAGAATTCATTCAACGATTAAAAATTAATTAATGCAGATACGCACTTCAGTATTAACTATCTGCTCTATTAGCCCGTCTGGACAGACACAAGTACGTCCAAGTTCTTGAGTGCTTAATAGGCACATAGCAGTTTGATGGCAGACAGATTCATCACATGGGTTAGTGACTAAAACATAAATAAATATGTGTTATTTTCAATGTATAAGTTTTAATATATAAATTATATTTTTCAAATTATTTACCGTTGCTGCTTTGTTGTTTATGTTCCTGAACCAATACTATATCGGACACTCTATTCAATCCACGAACTAAAAATGAAACATCACCATGCCCAAATTTATTTATTCTCAGCACATTATATGTTGTCAAAGTTGATATGTAAACATAATCTTCAAATACTTCTAATTTGAATGGTTTTTCTCCTAAAACACAATTTCTTTTAAAATTTGAATCAAATCAATAGTAGTTGTGTCTTATTATAAATTACCTCCAGTAAAACGATGTATTATTTTTCTATCCCTGCCACTTAGAGTAATGCTTTCAATGGTTTGTCCTTTGGCATCTGCCCAATATAACCTGAAATGAAACAAGGAAATGAAACTATGGCTTTGATGTAAAAGCGACAAAAGTACTTAGAATAACACTTCAAAAATATTGGTAAACTTACACAACACGAAACAAACAAAATTATGCTATTCATACAACTACCTTTTAGCAGGATAATCTAAGGCCAAGCCAGTTGGCCAATAAATTTTACTGTTGATAAGCATTTTTCTCTTATTACCATCCATGCTTGATAATTCAATATTTGGATTACGTCCCAATGTCGACCAAATCATAACTCTAAGTGCCAAAAATTACTATTAATATATATTTATTCATAATAAATATCAAAAATAAAAGCTCACCTGAGATAGGGATCTAAAACTATATCATTTGGAAAATCTAATGATTTATCAATAAGAGTTCTCTTTTTCTTTCCATCCAAATCGCAAACTGAAATACTATTATGTACTGAGTCTGTCCAATAAAGCATTTTATTTATCCAATCAACTGCTAGACCATTGGGATATTGCAGCCCAGATTCCATCTGAATAAAAAAAAGATCAACAACCTTTAGCTTTGACATAATTTAATATTCGTTGTTAAATTGCCAAAAAATAAATATTCGATTCAATATATGCAAGGGGGCGTCCGTTTTTCACATAGAGTTTTTAGGGGGAGGAGAGGTTTGACAAAAAATCATAAAATATCACAAAATATCTCCATCGGGGTAGGGAGGGGTATAGTGAGATATCATGTGTAATTATTTTACACCAATTTTTATCCGACTTGAGTCATATCTGGGCAAAGTCATATCCGGGCGGAGTCATATCCGGCTGGAGTTACATCCGGGCCAAGTCATGTCTGGTCGGAGTCATATCCGACTGGAGTCATATCCGACCGGAGTCATATCCGAGCCGAGTCATATCCCGATGGAGTTATATCCGGACGGAATCATATCCGGACGGAGTCATATCCGGGTGGAGTTATATCCGAGCGAAGTCATCACCGGGCGGAGTTATATCCGGGCGGAGTCATATCCGACCAGAGTTATATCCAGCTGGAGTCACATCCGGCTGGAGTCATATCCGACCGGAGTCATATCCGACGGGAGTCATATCCGACCGGAGTCATATCCGACCGAAGTCATATCCGGCTGGAGTCATATCCGGCTGTAGTCATATCCGACCAGAGTCATATCCGGCTGGAGTCATATCCGAGCGAAGTCATCACCGGGCGGAGTTATATCCGGGCGGAGTCATATCCGACCGGAGTTATATCCGGCTGGAGTCATATCCGGCTGTTGTCATATCCGACCGGAGTCATATCCGGCTGGAGTCATATCCGACCGGAGTCATATCCGACTGGAGTCATATCCGACCGGAGTCATATCCGACCGAAGTCATATCCGGCTGGAGTCATATCCGACCGGAGTTATATCCGACCGGAGTTAAATCCGACCGGAGTCATATCCGAACGGAGTCATATCCGACCGGAGTCATATCCGACTGGAGTCATATCTGACCGGAGTCATATCCGACCGGAGTCATATCCGACCGAAATCATATCCGACCGGAGTCATATCCGACCGGAGTCATATCCGGCTGGAGTCATATCCGACCGGAGTCATATCCGACCGGTGTTATATCCGAGCGGAGTCATATCCGAACGGAGTCATATCCGAACGGAGTCATATCCGAGCGGAGTCATATCCGGCTGGAGTTATATCCGACCGGAGTCATATCCGACCGGAATCATATCTGAACGGAGTCATATCCGACCGGAGTCATATCCGGCTGAAGTTATATCCGACCGGAGTCATATCCGACCGGAGTCATATCCGAGCGGAGTCATAGCCGGCCGGAGTCATATCCGGCTGGAGTCATATCCGACCGGAGTCATATTCGACCGGAGTCATATCCGCCTGGAGTCATATGCGAATGGAGTCATATCTGGGCGGAGTCATATCCGAGCGGAGTCATATCCAGATGGAGTTATATCCTAGCGGAGTCATATCCGGATGAAGTTATATCCTAGCGGAGTCATATCCGAGCGGAGTTATATCCGGGCGGAGTCATATCCGACCGGAGTCATATCCGAGCGGAGTCATATCCGGGTGGAGTTATATCCGAGCGGAGTCTTATCCAGATGGAGTTATATCCGGGCGGAGTTATAACCGGGCTGAGACATATTCGGGCGGAAACATATTCGTACGGAGTCATATCCGGGAGTTATATCCGGGAGTTATATCCGAGCGAAGTCATGGACTACAAAAATCTAACTTGATGAAATTTATTGAGGATTTTAGGGGGAGGGCGGTTTGACAAATAATCACGAAATATCACGTGGGGGAGGAGGGGTAAAGTAAGACGTCACGTGTATTTATTTTTTACCAAACATTTAAAAAAAATACAATTTTTTCTCGTAACTAAAAATACACGAAATTTAAAATCTTTATTAATTAAGAAAATCGACCGTGCAAGGTATTTAAAAAAAATTATATCGAGGAGTTATATCCGGGCAGATACATATCGGGCCGGAGTTATATCGGGGCAATGTCATATCCGACCGGAGTCACAGCCGGTTGGAGTTATATCCGGGAGAAGTCATAGTCGCCATATGGACTACAAAAAACTAACTAGACGAAATTTACTTAAATGTAGTAATAGTAATATTTACCACTGTCTGTATTGATTCAGAACTTCTAGTTACACGATCAGAAGAACTAATATTAGATCGCATTTTCAATTTTTGAATTTTCTTCATATGATGGTCAGTCCAGAAAATATATGATACTGGTTTTCCCCACAAAATATCTATTGACTCCAACTTGTAACTAAAAGAAGAGTACAAATAATATGCATTAAACATATATTCATACAATATAATTTTGAATTTTACCTTGGAGCATTATTTGTTTTCTCTAAAAGTTGATTATGTGAATCTTCGCCAGCTTTATATGGATTAATGGTGCGAAGGTCAGCATCACTTGCTACCAAAAGCAATGCCGGTTTACCTGTATAAAAATTGTATTATATATGTAATTAATTTAATCAAATAATATTCAAAATCAATAATCAAAGAGAACACTTACCAGTAGCTTGACAAGTCGCATTTTTTCCTAATTCTCCCATTTCATAACCAGGGCTACATCTTAAATTATAATATAAAACTGTTAAATAATTTTAAATACATATATGTATTACCAACAAATATTAAACAGAACTTTTTAAATTTAAATCCATTTAAAATATTTAACATACTTGCAAGCATAATTTCCAGCTTTTTTCTCCAAACAAATTTGTGAACAAGTTCCAAACAGACATGGTGGTTTTGTGCAATACTCTTCATCGCTGTTATCAAAACAATCATTGTTTCCTGGAAAGCAGTAATCATAAAATTATAAAGTGTAAATGAATAAATACTTCTTTTCAAATAACAAGAATAGTATGCTTTTATATCTTACTTACCATCACACTGTAGTTTTAATGAAACACAAAGTCCATTAACACAACGAAACTCGGTTGGATGACACACATGTTTAGAAGCACAAACTGTATTTAACTCATCAGATCCATCACCACAATGATCAACACCATCACATATTTTATGTGTCTCCACACATTTATGATTTGAGCATCTAAATTGTTTAACAACATAAACATAATGAGCGAGAATTAACATAAAATTTTAACTCAAACAATTTAACCATTACTATAAACTAATATCTAATTTTTTATACTCTTAACCGTATTTAATTATACCTGTATTTCCCAGGTTCACAAGCTAAATCCGCACATAAAGAAGAATCTTCATCGGAACCGTCACCACAATCATCCTGACCATCGCATCTCCAAGAGAGCGATATGCACTGATCATTCCTGCACGTAAACTGATTACTCAAACATGAGTCCTTGCAGTTAATTTCGTCAGAACCGTCTGCGCAATCAGTATCACCATCGCATTGCCATGTCCTTGATGTTACAAAATAACATTGAAATTTTAATAAATAATATTTCAGTAATATTTATTGATTTAAAATTAACTTTCAAGTGCAATTACATTATTTACTTACTTATAAATACAGAATGGTGGATTGTGGCATTGGAATTCATTAGATGAGCAAGTCGTATTGCAACCAATTTCATCAGAATGGTCTTCGCAGTTGTAAGCCCCATCACAACGATGAGATCCCCTAACGCATATTCCATTCTGGCATCTGATTAAAAAAACATTTTATTATAATACATAGAACACTTTTATGAGAAATTTATAGCTTATTATTTCGCACCTGAATTCACTTTCTGAGCAATTCCTGGGCTGGCATCCTGCTTCATCGCTGTTATCGCCGCAATCATTTTCGTAATCACATCTCCAACGACCAGGAATACATCTATAATAGATAATACCATACATATAAATAGTAGTTCACTATGTATGAAATCTACTCCAAAACTAAGTGTTGAATTGGATAATCGTATTACATATATTCCAAATATAAGCAGAGAAATTTTTGTTATAAACGAAATGAAAGTAATCTAATGACTACTTTGTATGTAACTTACTTATTATTAGAACATTTGAAATAAGTTGGTTCACAAGTGTGATGATCAGGTGAGCTGCAACTTGCAGGTTCGTCCTCACCACCTGCACAATCGAAATCGCCATCGCAACGCCAGGATTGAGGAATGCACCGTCCTGTATTACATCTAAAAAATAAATATATAAATATTTGATTCAATATCTTTTACTTTAATAAGTGCTAGTTTCATATCTACTTCGAACTCTATGCAGATCCTCCAAATATAAATAATATATCATTATTTTTTTTTATTTGGTTCACAATTTGCAAGAAAACATGTTAAGAATTACAAATATCATATTAATAATTCATAATTTAATTTTACCTGAAACTATCTGGAGGACAACTTCTTTCTTGACAATCCATTTCTTCGTCTGATCCGTCTGTGCAGTCATTATCACCGTCGCAAACCCAAACTGGAGGAATGCATTTTCCATTCTTACAAGTGAACTACAATAACAACAAATAATATTTAATGATAAACTATAGAAAAGATTTTAAATTCTTTGGGTATATAAATAAAAAAATTACCTGAGTTGGCAAACAGGTTTTAGCTTGGCAATCGTGTTCATCATCGCCTAACAAACAATCAGGAACTCCATCGCACTGTTTTTTCATAGAAATACATCTATCGGGTATCGTTCCATTACCCTTGCATTTAAATTGTGTGCTGAGACAAGTATACTGTGAAATATAGAATATGATTATTTAATTTAGTAAAAGTCTGAGTGAATTATAAAAAAAAATATATTCTTAAATAATTAACTATTTAATTGTGAAAATTTGTTGAGATTTCTAATGTTAATAAATAATTCAAATTAATTAAATCAGAAAAATATGATAAATTTATTTAAAATTAAGATGTATATATTATGGTAGTTATTGTTCATTAACTAGTAATTTATATAAGTTTGCGCAATGGGGTTTAATTATTTTTTTTTACCTTATCACATTCCTTTTCATCGCTGCCATCTCCACAATGATCACTTCCATCACATAATAGAGAAGGATGTATGCAATGATTATTTGAACATTGGAATTGACCGGGATGGCATACAAAGTTTGGACAAGTTGCTGGTTCATCTGAGCCATCACCGCAATCATCCTACAATAAAATAGAAATTTTATTCTAAAATGATTACAAACTATAGAAAAACATATTATGTAAATAATTGAGATAATTTTACCTGAGTGTCACATCTCCACCAAAATGGTATACATTTGTAAGTACTGGCACATACAAAATGTGCCCCAGTACAATTAGCATTACATGCTTTTCCATCAGGTGCAAGGACAAATCCTTCTGGACAAGCACATTTATAACCAGGTTCCTCTGGCGTTAAGAGACAAAGTGTAGAACAGTTTGCTTTGCTACATTTATCATCTGACGCTAAAAGTATTAATTCATTTTTAACATTATTATAACTGATGATAACAGTAACATTACTTGAAAGTTTTTCTACTTACGCGTAATTTGGCGGTACGGATGATAAACTCTAATATCCATAGGACGATGCACTAAAGTTGTTATATTTTTACATTGATCTCCTCTATATTTATGACATCTTTCAATAGATTTTGTTTCCCAGTCTGTCCAGTAAACATAATCCTCCCAAACTGCTAATGCAAACACATGATGCAAGCGGAGTGAAGGTTCATTAGCTAAAAAGAAGAATAGTTTTAAAGTAATAATCGAGATAATTTTATATTTGTATTAAACATTTTAAGATAAAACATTATCATTAAATTATGACCTATTACCTCTGCTAACTATAATTTTCCTGTTATTTCCTTCAAAATCTGAAACAGCAATGTAATCTTCTCTTGCATCAGCCCAGAATAACTCCTGTGTTTCAAAATTGATGGTAAGAGCATTAGGCCAGCCTAGCGAATCATTCACAATTATCCTCTGATTAGATCCATCCATTCCAGCTTTTCCAATATGAGGAAGATCGCCCCAGTCCGTCCAGTACATGTATCTAAAAATATAAATGTTTGTAAATATATTAATTATAAATACTAATATAGTTGCAAAAAGTTACCCTGCATGTGAATCTAATGCAATAGCTCTAGGTTCTTGTAAACCATTCTTAATTAACACTTTACGATATCTTCCATCTAGTTTTGAAACTTCAATGGTGTCTGATCCTTTATCACACCAATAGAGATTTCTTGCAACCCAATCTACAGCCAATCCATCTGGATTTTGAAGAGTTGAAGAATGGAGTAGCTAAAAAAATAATATCTAGATAACAATCATGAAATAAATTCAATACAACAATATCAACATCAATATAATCTTTTCTATATAAATTATTTAATAAAGATATGGTGATATTGTAAACTGCTAATAAGCAAACATACCTGAGAAGGACCATACTCAATACCATTTTCAGATGGACACTTTTTATGAATGGAGCTTCCTAAAGTTGTTACATCCGACCATACTAAACACTTAGTTTGCCAATCAAAATCTAAAGCAACCACATTTGTTAAGTTATGAACTAATATTGTATTATGGCCGGCTAAATCCACTTCTCTAATGTAATATCTGTTGGAAAATATCAGTCGAGCTTCCACGGCTAGAATACAGATAAAAGTTTATTTGAAGCAAATTAATTTTTAAAACTTAAATACAAGTTTTTCTATGTGCCAGCATTAAAATTTTTCATTATTATTGCTTAATATGAATTTTTCTTACTCGATATAGCTTTGCAGGTATGATGATCTGCTTTCATAGAATAGCCAGGTCCGCATGAGCATACATAACTACCATGAGTGTTTCTGCAATGTTGACTACATGGTCTGTCTAGACATTCATTAACATCAGAACAGAGATGCCGGTCACTGAAAACATATTGCAATCATAAGTAATAAGTTGCACTAAAATATAAAAATAACTAAAAAAAGCAAAAAAATAAAAAAATACATATGATGTTAATTAATCATAAAATTAAATGCACCTCGATGAAACATTAAATCCTTTTCCACATTTGCATTCATAACCGACTTTAAGATCAATGCACTCTTGGGCGCAAATCGGAGGTGTACCTTCGCACTCATTTATATCTGTAAAATATTTACAATTATCATTACAACTCCAACTGTGTTAAATTATGGCAAAAACGATAAATACGTACTGCAAGTAATTTCATCACCAAAATCACCACAATCGTTTTCTCCATTACATAAGAGTGTAGAATTGATGCATACTCCATTTGGACATTCAAATAGCTCAGGACCTTTACAAGGAAGTAGTTCCTCTTCTATAAAAAAGATTTAATTTAAAAATATTCTAGTATCAAAATATAAATTGCAATATATTTCAATAAATCCATTTACATAAGCCACAGTACAATTGACAACAAGTGAAAAATCATTTGCGCTGTGTTACATTAGATACATACTACACAGTGCTGCATCTTCATCACTGTTATCTCCACAATCATTGTAACCATTGCAAATAAATCCTACTAAGACACATTTTTGATTCTTGCATAAAAATTCAGAAGAATGGCATTGGGTTATGTTTGTCTGAGGCTTTACTGGTATGCATTGTTTTGGTTCATCGGAACCATCTTTACAATCAATGTTTTTATCACAATAGTATTTCTGCAAAAAAAAAAAAATCAATAAACTTTTAATATTAACTATTATATAAAAATTAACTTATAACAATAAATAGCAAATACAATAAATTATTATTATGCAAGAAAACTGGTAAAGTTCAAGTTCAATAAAAAATTCATGATTGCTATTAAATAAATAAAATATTACTTGATCGATGCACTCGTGGCTGAGACATTGAAACTGATCAGGCATACAAGTAATGTTTGGCCTATTGTGACAGCCTTGTGAAAGATATTCATCCGCACCACCTACGCAGTCAATTTCTCCATCACATACCCAAGACCAAGGTATGCAGCTTCCTGTAGAGTTACAACGGAACTCCCACTGAGCGCAAGTTCTATGGGCTAAATAAAAAAAAATACTATTAAAATTATAGTTTAATGATTGATAAAACACTTATATAAAATATTGTAGATAATTTACCACAATGCTGGCTTTCATCAGAACCATCCAGGCAATCGGGCATTCCATCACATTGCCACTTAGCTGGGATGCATTCGGAATTCGAACAACGGAACTGATCGCTTCTGCACCTATGCTCTATAATGATAATACAATATCAAATATGTTTATTGAAAAACTAAGTGATTAAGTAAATGGTTTCTTAAATACTTGCCACAATTCTTTTCATCAGAGCTGACGCCATCAGGACCTGCATCCCCACAGTCATCTTCATCATCACACTTCCATTCTGTAGATATGCAACGCCCGTTAGAGCAGCGGAAACGATCAGGACCACAAGACGTTGCACTCATGTGACCCTCTGGAACAAAATCAATGCCAAATTATACACACCAAAACTAACTAAAAACCATAAAATACTAAGAAAAAAACATATATAACTTACCGGTACAATTCTGTTCGTCCCAAAAGTCCCAACAATCATTTTCACCATCACATAACCAATTCGGATGATAACAAGCCGTTGTATGAGGACATTGTACCGCTTGCTGTCTGATTGATGCCGTTGATAAAGAAGTAACTGTTGCATTAATTAATGCACTTATAACCCTGTCACCTCCAACCATCATAAGAGATTCGTGAAGAGCGGCATCACTGCAATCTACTGGTGGACAACCCATTTCGTCGGAAGCGTCTGGACAATCTGGATCACGATCGCATCGGAGCTTGGAGCTAATACAAACTCCATTTTTACATCTGAAATTAAGGTTTAGAGCCCAATTATTTTTTAAAAATTCATTATAAAATGAAATAGATTTTACAAAAACTTTTTATTTATATTTACCTAAAATGTGTACTGTCTGTGCAAGAACAATTTGTTTCGTCGGTTCCATCACCACAATGGTCTTGTCCATCACACATTAATTCTGATAAAATACATCGCCTGTTCCCACATTGGAAGAAATTCTCTGGGCATACGCGCAATGCTACAAAGTAAAGTAAATGCAATATTTGAATTTTTTTATGAATAGTAGATATAAAATCAGTCACATACCACAATAATTGCTATCTTCGTCAGATGCGTCTTGGCAATGATCGATTCCATCACAAGTTAAAGACATTGGAATACATTCGCCTTCTGTACATTGAAATTTGGATGGTTCACATTGTTTAACTTCCGCTTTCACACATCTCTTGGAATCTGCACCGAGTTTATAACCAGCTGAACAAGAACAATAAACTGATCCGTACTCATTCAGAGAACATTTGTGCTCACAACCACCGTTTAGAATTGAGCAAGGGTTTGCTTGACCTGTAATTAAATACAAACTATTTATAAAAGAAAATGAGTTATTAACATAAATTTTATTATTTACTTACAATCTAGTCCTTCTCCATGAACAGCGACTATTCCCATTGGTCTAGGTAAATCTTTTCTTAGGAATGTTACTTCTTCACCAGTGTACTTGTTGCATCGAATGACCGCATGCAAAACCCAGTCAGTCCAGAATATATATTCATTGTAAATAGCCAGAGCAAATGGATGTTGTGGTGTTGAATGCACAATTACCTACACCATATTAATAGTTTAATTGAAAGAAAAAGTATTGACCGAAACAGTACAAAAATCTAAACAATTACAGAAAATAATAATAATAAGTTTAATAATAAGAGATAAGAACCATTTAATTATTTACCATTCTGTTGCTGCCATCATAATCAGTTCTTTCAATTTTGTCTAATCTTGCATCACCCCAATATAACTTTGTAGCTTTGTGGTCTAAAGTGATCGCATTAGGCATTCGAATATCAGTCGTGATAATACTTTCTGGGTGAAATCCAGTGGTAAAAGCTCTTTGAATAGAAGGTTGCTGTGAATTCCAGTTAGTCCAAAACACTAACCTATAAAAATAAAATAAAAAAGAAATTAAAGCAAGAACAAATAACACAATAAAATTATAATGTTCATACATTTGGCATCCATCTACGGCAATTCCACGAGGCTTATCATTTGGCTTCAATCTTACGACATGCTTAACAATTGGATCGGCTAATCCAGTCTGATTTAATTCCATCTGACTAATAGTTGCAACATTGTTGCATGTCCAGTATAAAGTGTTTGTTAATTGTTCATATGCCAAACCTTCTACAGATCCTTGCTCTGCAAAAAATAATATAAGATATCCAGATAAATAATTTTTCATATAAAAGAAATTTTTATAATACTACTTACTGTCAATAATCGTAGTATGATTTGTTCCATTGAAAAATACACTATTTATAGACCCCTTTTGAATATCAGAATAAAAGAGGCGACTCCTGGAGTAGTCATAAGCAAGTCCTATTACATTTCTAACCAAATCCCGATTTTTAATTGTAGGATAAGGCGAGTTTAGATCAGTCTCATCAGTCACGTGAATGGAGTCAATTAATACAACACGTGAATACATGAGGAAACTATCATAATCTGAAAGAAAATTAAATGAAAAATATTATATATTGTGTAATTATTAGTATATAATGTAATTGATTTTACTACTGACTTTATAATCATCCAAATAAATTTTCTAATAGGTAATAAAAAAATCAATTAAATAATATTTAAACAATTTGTATACCTTTACAGGACTTGCCATCAGCTGCCACGTTGCCATGAGGACAAGCGCATACTGGGTGAGTTCCATTAAACAGACAAAGAACTTCACAACCCCCGTTCTTTATGCCACATGGATTCATTCCAGATTGACGTGATTTTGAGAATATTTTAATATCCTTCAAAGAATCTCCAGAACTTCCTAGCAATGTTGTGTAATCGGATAGATTTGTGATCGGTGCAGACTTTATGCTGCCTCTATCATGGGTACTAAAAAAAAACAAATTAAAATAAAGAATCACATGATGTTTATTATGAAAAAGCAGTATTTTATTATCATAATTTAAATAATATTTTATTTAGGTCTACTTACGTGTCTACCCAATACAGTCTATCATTAAGGAATGTTAAAGCAATAGGGTTAGTGATTGAATGATTCAGTAACATTTCTGCATTTCGGCCGTCATAGTCCATTCGCATTATAACATCATTTGTGCTATCGCACCAATATAATTTATGTCTCTAAAAAATATTTTAAATTATGTATCTGCACACAAATATCAATAATCTTTAATATAATAAATAAATTATAATTAAAATATATTTTATTGAATAAGTTATTAATTATATCGTCCTTTCATGAATCAATCAAAATAAATTGTACTCACATCATAATCGAGTGTCAATCCTGAAATACTTCCTTTAGTATTATTGATAAGATCAATTTGATTAGAACCATCTAAAGCTGTTCTTTGTATTGTTATTATGAAAAAGCAGTATTTTATTATATATTTAAATAAATTTTTAATATTAGGCCACTTAGTGTCTACCCAATACAGTCTATCATTAAGGAATGTTAAAGCAATAGGGTTAGTGATTGAATGATTCAGTAACATTTCTGCATTTCGGCCGTCATAGTCCATTCGCATTATAACATCATTGTGCTATCGCACCAATATTTATAAAATAATTTTTATCCATAAACAAGATCTTTACCAGACATCCAATCAACAGGAATATTATCTAATGATTCATATTGTTCCACGACTGTTTGACGTTCTGTACCATCTCTATGAATTCTGGTGATAGTTCCATGATCATTGTCCGCCCAATATAGAAAATCTGTTTCTATAAATGAAATAATATGAACATTAAAAATGAGACCACTGAATAATGCCAAAATATATACTAATTAATTGCATATCAACAACCAAAATTTGTGTTTTAGAGTTTTTTTTAGTATGTACATACTTTTATTATTATGTTATACACTATGTGAATATTAACCTGCATGAAAGTCGACATTGGACGCCATCGAGACTCTGGATATAGGTCCTAAAACAGCATCAGTGTAGTCATTATCAGTGGGCAATCCCTTAATTTCCCAATTCATAGAGTAGAAAATAAACTCTTCAATACCTAGCAAATATAATAAAAATTATAATATTACACAAGTTGTTTTTCAAATAAATAATAATCAACTCTACTTGAGTCTACTCACCAATACATTTGTTAGGATTATTTGCATCTGTCTTGTAACCGGTTGCACATTTACAGACATGTTCTCCACTAGAAATTGGCAAACAAAGATGTTCACAGCCTCCTTTATTTGCAGAGCAACTATTGTTACCATGTTGTATTGCACGGTCATATATCCTTAGGGATAATATGTTTCCTATAAAAATACTAAAGTCAGTCATTTTTTGTTATGATATGATTAGATATCAGTTATTTTACCTGTATTATTTCTTACAACTTCTCGTTGTCCACCAGAAGTTTTATCACATTTGTGAATTGCATTGTCTTTTTGATCAGCATAGTACAAAAAGTTTTTGTACACGGTTGCAGTTGTGGGCTGAGATTTTGCGTCAAGCGGCACCTAATATTGAACATGTATTATGATTTAAAGTTATATTTTTGAAACTATATAAAAATAAAATACTTACATCTTTTACTAAATTGGTTTGAAAATCGTAGTACTGAATTAGGCCCACCTCCATATCCACCCAATACAATCTTTGGTCCTCGATATCTACACTCAAACCTAAATTCGGGTAGTAATAAAGCGTAAGTCAGTGTAAATATATAAATAATTATAATGTTTTACATATATAATATAATAAATATAAAATTTATATTGCATAGATATTAATTCTATTTTCTGAAATAGGATTTCAGTATGAATTAACTAAAAAGAGTAATTCATTATAAGAGTAATGCAACAAGTCATTAAGAAACTCACTTTGTGGATTTACGAGCAGTTGATCCTCCACTTGGGTAGTTAGAGCCCTTCTGTTATTTCCATCCATAGTACTCATTTCTATGAAATATGATGAATCCTTCTGCCTCACCCAGAATAAATGTCCTCTGTTAATACAGAAAAAATTTAAGTTAGTATAACAAATATCATTAAATATATATTTAAATTTACCTAATAGGGTCTAAAGCCAAAGCTTTGATGTTGTCTAAATCATGTTGTAAAATTATTGTCCCGTATTCACCATCAAGATTATAGACAGATATAGTACTATTTATATTCCCTGATGCTACAAACATATTATTTGAGATCCAGTCCACAGCAAAACCAGTTGGATTTTCAATGCCTAAAAAATTTTTTACATCGATTTAATCTATTAAGTCTATTATGTGTTTATTGAAACCCAAAATGGAATAAGAGGTTTGTGAAAAATTTATTTGTTATTTCACCTGTATCTAAGATGGTTTTTGTTGGTCCTCTAGTTAAGCCAGCACTCTTAACTTCATTTACTTGAGTATCAGACCAATATAATGTAGCTTTTGCTGCAACAAATTCTATTTGAACTGGCTGAATTACTTGCGGAATACTTATGGTTGGAATGGTATGATAATTTGGTTGCATCAAGTCTACACCGCGAATTTCATTTGGACGAGAAAACAAAAGTACTTGCTCATTTACTAAAATAATTAGATAGTTCTATAAAAATACATTTATCTTAAATATGTTGAGTCTATTCTTTTATAATACAAACTATTGCTTACCAATGCAATTTTTTTCATCTTTTGCTAATCTCATAACATGAGGGCAATCACACTTATAAGTATTGTTGCCATTTAGAAGGCATAAGTGTGAACATCCACCGTTATTGACACCACATGGATTTTCAACATCTAAGACAACAAAGATTTCTTTAAATTAAGTTGCAGTTATGGTTATAATATATATCTCATCAGAATTTTTAATATAACTTTAATACAAATAAATAATGAGTAATTTAAATCTATATTATACCTCTCGGCTGTCTGCTAGGATGCAGTATCTGAATATCGAAAGGCTGAGTTAAAGTTCTCTGAATAATAGACACATCAGAACCATTCCATTTATTGGCTCTGATAACTGAATTAGTTCGCCAGTCTGTCCAATAGACATGGTTCTCAAACAGAGCAATCGCAAATGGATGCGACAGAGTTTCACGATCTCGCATCACCTCATGATGATCCCGACCCTCATAAGTAGTCGTGTGAATTGAATCTGAACTGTTGAAAGGATCTATTATAGCATTATGATAAGATAAACACAAACACCAACCATACATTTCCAAATGTATTAAAAACATAAAAAAAATAATCATCAATAAATCATTTCATAAGGGCTCACCGCGCATCAATCCAATAAACTCTTTTCAGATCATAATCCAATGTGAGACCATTGGGCCATGCTCCATCGGTGAGCTGATCCACTTTTACAATCACAGTTCTGTCATATCCGGCCATAGTGCACCTTTCTATACGAGGAGCTGTACTATCCCAATCAGACCAAAACATATAACTGAAAATATAATTCTTATTAACTTCCCGTAGGGTAAGTTATTGCAATGGGCCGAAAATCGGAATTGAAAATTTTTACATTTCTCGACGTTTTGAAGGTTTCTGAACATTTTGGCATACCTCAGAAAAAATGGATGTGTGTATGTGTGTGTGTGTGTATGTATGTATGAATACAAATTTCCAGTCACGTTTTCGGGCGCACGGATCAACCGATTTGAATGGTTCAAAAAACATTCGATTCCTATTGATAAGGAGATGTACTGATTAGTTTTTGGCAAAGGCAGGTCCAGCAATTACGGAGATAAAGAGCAAAGAGTGCAGAAAATAGAAATCGAGTTTTTGAGAGAACGGAGCATCCTATTTGAATGATCTAAAAAACATTCAATTAGTAATGATTGGGAGAAGTGATAATTAGTTTTTTGCAAAGGCAGGCCCAGCCATTTCGGAGATAAGGAGCTAAATGTACAAAAAATGGCAGGTTTTGAGAGAACTGAGCGTCCGATTTAATTGATTCAAAGAACTTTCTGCTTGTCATGACAAAATAATTGATTTTGGAAAAAAAAATTTTGTTCCAACTTTTTTTTTTTTTTATTTTTTTGTATATCGAAAATAATTCAGATTTTATTTTTAATTCTGACTATAGTTCTAATATACTTTACAAATAATTTCAACTTTGCAATTCAGTTTATATAATTCTTATAAATATTAGACAATGTTACAATTTTTATAATAATCTATTTAAAAACATTCAGTATTCTTCGAGCATTTCGTTACGGTACGGGAAGTTCCAGCAATTTGCCTTAAGGCACAATGCCACCCACCGCACTAGTTTTATATTAATATTATCTTTTTCAAACATATTCAAAAATTCTAAAAAAATACACTAAAGACTGTTTTTAAAATGAATACTTGAAAATTAAAAATCCAATATTATTTAAAAAGATATGTAACTGAAAACCGTACCCAAATCTTGGATCCAGAGCAATGGCTCTCGGACTTTCCATGTCGCCAGCGACCAAAGTTCGTCTGAAGCTGCCATTTAATCTCGAAACCTACAATATATTCAATACTTAATATTATAATTATTTTGAACAAAGTTGTAAATATAAAATTGATTTATATATATAAATTCGATAGAAATATATCAATTAAAAATAAAATAAATAACTAAAATTGAATTATTAAATTAAAAGAAAGTTTTAATTACCTCAATTTGGTCCAAATTGCTTTCTACCCAATACAAGTTTTCACCAATCCAATCTACTGCCAAACCTTCAGCAGTGGCTAAACCAGTCTGTACGACTACTTCAATGTTACTCAAAGCTAAGAAAAATATAATACAATATAGCTCTCAATATCAAAGTACATATATAAAAAAAAATCAAAATTCAATTTTTCTTACATGCTCCTATTAAGGTTCCACGATATATTTTATCATCTATAACATCAGTCCAAAAAACTATGTTCGTGTTGTTTTTATGCCAAAAATCCAATGCTATAGTATTTTTTAAACTAGCAATTAGAGCTTTGACCTGATATGTTTTCAAATCAACTCCGCGAAGTTCATGGCGATTACTAAATATCACAATTGGTGATGATTCATCTATAATCAAATATTTGAAACTATTGAAGTAATTCCAAAATTGTGAAACAAATATGAAACATGTTAAATTTATAATACCTGTGCTTTTGCAGGTAAATCCATCACTTTGAAGTAAATAGCCTGGATTACAAGCACATTTGTGATGTTGATTCATTTGAATGCATTTTTGTGAACAAGTTCCCCATGATTCGCATGGATGAGCATCTGAGCATGTCCTTCCATCAGCCTGCAAGTATTGAAGTAATGGTATGACATTTACTGATCTGACATTATGTTTTTAACAAAGTTAACTCGATAATTACCATAAATTGAGAAATTAGAAATTTAGAAATATATAAAATGTACCTGTAAATGTAGATGCTTAGGGCATGAGCATACTAAACCTTCAGGAGCGTTGTGGCAATAATGACTGCATACATTAGAATGATCACATAACTTTTCGCCTAATAAAAATAATTGATTCCATTATTATATAATATTTTAGAGAAAGCATTTTTAAATGTTACAAGAAGTTGTCTGTAATTTGCAGTCTAAAATTCTTCATAAACATTTTGGGACACTGGGTAAGTAAACAAATAACTTACAATATCAAGAAAATAATGACTTCTAGCATGTAAGAAGACTTACTACAACGCAGTTCTTCATCAGAGCCATCCATGCACTGAGTTTTCCCATCGCAAAGTGATTCAACAGGAATGCATTTTGTGTTTCCATCACACCAACGTGATGGGTGATCGCACTGAGCGACTGGTGGAAGACTCTTTCCTGCAAATATAAATTACAAAATAATGAATTTAAACAAATCAATCAATTTTAATTCAGATTAGGAGTTTTTGATGATGTATCACCTGGCGCAGGTGTCGATTTTGATTTATAATCAGTTTGTGTACAGTTTGTTTCATCAGATCCATCTAAACAATCGGAAATGCCATCGCAGTAGAACTCCTGCAAAGTAAAATCATATGTTACAAATTACTTAAATTTTATACAATTGTAAAAATTTTATAAACTTGCCTTCCTGATGCATTCGTGATTTGAACACGTAAATTCATGCAACTCGCACGTTATAGGATATTTTTTTCTAGTTCCATTTCTGGTTTTCGTTTTCTCCGGATTTTGCTTTCCATTGTTACATTTAGCTTCATCCGATCCATCTGAACAATCTATTTCACCATCACATTTGTCGGAATGTGGAAGACATGTCGAATCAGCTGCACAATATATCTAGATAATGAAGAAAATTGTGAAAAATAAAAAAAATCATGTATATAGTGAAATTGTTTTAAATATAATCTCTAAGTCAATGTCTGCCGATCTTACTTGTTTCGGCGGGCACCATTCTTGGCAGCCTCTTTCGTCAGAATTATCTTTACAGTCGTCATCGCCATCACAGTAATATTCAAATGGAATGCAATGTTTATTTTCGCAGACGAATTCAGTCGGATCACACTCAGGATATTCTGTTATAACGTTAATATTTAATATTTTCTTCGATAAAAATACTGTTATAATAATTTTATATTAAAATTTTCTTGTATAAAGGTATAAAACTAGATTCTTACTGCAATCAGCATGCTCATCTGAAGTGTCGCCCATTCCACAATCATGATCGGAATCACAAGTCCAGGAAAGTGGAATGCACCTGTAAGAAAAACCAAATCAAATAAAATATTTTAGGCATTCTTATACATTGTCAAATGATCTCAAAGATATTTTAAATATCTAAATATATTAGTTTCTTTGGTTTATAGATTTAAGTATATCGGGAATATAATAGATTAACATATAAACAAAATTATAGATAACATGAAACATACCGCCCAGTAATTTTACAGGTAAACTGCATAGAAGTGCAGGTTATATTATGGCAATAAGCAGGATCTTCATCAGATCCGTCATCACAGTCTAGAACAAACGAGAATTCTTTAGATGCAACAATTACAAAAATTTTATGAAATGTTTTCAGTATGAATTACCTTTATCTCCATCACAAACCCAATACTGATTTATGCATCGTGTAGAGTCGCAGCGAAATTGATCGGCCAAACAAGTAGAATTCTCTATAAACAAAAAAGATTAAAAAAAATCCATGTTACGAATGAAAATTATTTGTGCATTATAAATTAAGGATTATTTCTATGTAATGCTTACCACAGGCTCCGCCTTTAGAATTATCTTCGTCAGATCCGTCACCGCAATCCTGATCGCCATCGCATACATGTCTCTGGTCAATGCAGCTGTAAACGATATACAAGTTAAAATATTCTTTGTTCATATAAATTATAGTAAAATAAATTATAGTGTATTCATTGTGCACATTTACTTGTGATTTTTGACACACTGAAACTGTCCAGGAGCGCATCTAGGTTTGACTGTGTAATTTTTCTGCTCTATGCAGGTAGTTCCCAAGGCATTTAGAGAATGACCATCTCGACACAAGCAGATTGGGCGCTCCGGTGTTGGTATACACAATTCTGGACAATACGTATCATTGGAGCATTCGTTAGATCCTAAAAATCATAAAAAGCAAACCATAAAGTTAATTAAATAAGAAGTATTTCTTTATGTTATCACATAATTGCTAATTTAATTATTCAATCAAATACTTACCCATTTGTGTCATGTTATCAAATATTTTGATATCTAATAAGGGAGGATTTTCAACAGCTAATACAGTCGTTGTTTTATTTCCCAGATGATACCTCTGTACAGTTCCGTTTGCAAATTCTGTCCAAAATAAGAAATTTTCATAATAAGCCAAGCCGTATGGATTTCGTATCATTGGGCCTTTCAAAAGTAATTCACGTCCTGTTCCATCTAATGATATTCTTTCTATTCGGCTCAATTTCGAGTCACACCTAATAGTGAATATGAAAATTGTATATATCAATTGAGACAATCTAAAAATTACTTTTAGAATTTTTTTATTAAATTATATAAAAAAATGATTTACATCTTTATATAACCATTATCTCACCAGTATAAATGCTGCGCCAAATAATCAATTGTAAGTCCGCTCGGCCATATAACGTTTTCTTGTATAAAAACGTTCTGATGCGTTCCGTCCATCCAAGCTTTCTGAATACGTCCAATTACTGTTTGCAAAGCACCAGTAGACCAATCAGCCCAATACATATACCTTCATTTTCAATATATTATTGCATATTAATTTTTTTTACTCATAAAAATTATAATATTCATAATTAAAAACAGTATTTTATTTGATATCTACCCTTTCTTTGGGTCCACAGCAATAGCTCTTGGGTGCATGTTGTTGTCCTGAATTAATACTTTTCGATGCTTAACATTTGACAATTTGGCAATGCTGATTTGATTCAAAGCTTCATCTGTGAAATACAAATTATTGCTCAACCAATCAATAGCAATTCCTTCGCAATTGTTTATGCCACTATCAATAACAACTTCTCGTTGAGTTGTTTCTAACTTTTGACGTTCGATTAAATATCTGTAATAATATGAAATAATATTATAAAATAAATAAATTATATTCTATCAATCATTATATTTTTAGAATAGAAATAAAAATATATGCTCACCTATGCACATCGGAGTAATAAATATATTGCGTTTTTACGTGGTAATCTATACTTCTCGGTTTACCAAGATCCGTAATTGGAACCATCACTTCTGGATGTTTACCTTTTTCTGACATGCTGATACCTTTTATCATGGCTGGTTTGTCTTTGCCAAACATTAAAAATGCGCTCTGCTTTGCAACTGAAATAATAATTCGGAACAATTAATAGTAAATAAAATTTAATGATATTTTTTTCTGTAACGATGATTAATACGATTGATAATGATTAATAAAAACATGATAAATACGAATACTTACCAACACATTTTCCATGAGTTTTCAATCGGAAACCAGGTCGACATACACATCGTGCTATTGGAATATTATTTTTCCAAGCTGGAATGCATAAGTGAGAACAGCCGCCATTATTCGACCGGCATGGATGAAAAACTAAAATAAATAGATCCTTATACTATAAAATGCAAAATAAATAGCTTTTGATAAGGCCAATATTTAAATATGAATAATATAAGAGAATATATAAGAATATGATTTATTATGAACTCACCATCAGGCTGCAGTTGCCTGTGAAAAACATGAACAACATATGGTCTGCCAATATTTTTCACTATATGTTGATTATCCTGAGCATTGTGTTTATCAATTTTTATAATACTGTTATTTCTCCACGAGGAAACAAATAAGGAACGTTCAAAAACGGTCACCCAAAACAAATTTACTGCCTGAAACAAGAATCTAAACATAATATCAACTATATCATGCATGTTTTCGTAAATATTTTTGGATATGTTACCCTTCTAACAGTTCTCTTATTGCTACCATCATAATCTATACGTTCGATGGAGTCTAAATAAGTATCGACCCAATATACATGCTTCTTAGGTAAATCCAATGAAATTCCATATGGATACACTATTTTCTGATTAACTAAAGTTGTTCTATTAGAACCGTCCATGAGGCAACGATCCAAAGTAGGAGGGCTATGTCCCCATTTTGTTACAAACATCAATCTATTAAAATATAATTATTATATATCTATTATTTATATAATAAAAAATAGTTTTATCTATTACCACATACCCAGTGGTTGGATCCAATACTAAGCCTCTTGGTTTACTTAAATCTATTTCTAAAATTATAGTACAATATCTTAGACTTGTATCACAAGCAAATATCATCTCTCTAGTATCATCTAAAAAATACCAATTCCCGCTTATCCAGTCTATCGCCAGTTGGTGAATGGCTAAAAATAAATCAGAAAGGAAGTAGTACATTTGGATATATATCTAATATATTATCTCTTAACTTATATAAAATATAATAACGATTTGTAAAGGTTAATGAGTTAACATTTCGTTTAAGACAAAAAAGGCAAATTTAATATGTAATTTTTAAGCGATGTGATTTACGATTATAAGAAGCATTCCGCAATTCCTTAAGTTATGTACATAATATAAACAATGCATTAAATGAAACCGCATAATTTTTACTGTGCAATCACGACTAATGTATTTCCTACTTTACGTGAAAATGATGCCACCAAACCTACATTCTAAGGAAGAAAACATAGCTGGTGCCGGCATAGACCGGCGATGACTCAAATTATCAGCTTCTGCACAAACAAGCGTCGACTTTGTCATGTTGTTGTGGATGTAACACACAGTCCTTTGTCGGTGCAAAAAATCCAAAGCGTGCGAATTAAGAACCTAATAATATTAAATCAGCATAATATATGGAATTCCCAAATGTGACAACTATTCGAATAGCAAGTGAATAGAGCAACATTAAAATATTACGCTTCTAAAGCGAAACAGATGATAATGTGCTAAATGTATATGAAATACCTTAATGCCATTATTTCCAGGCAAATCACCCCCCGTCAGTGAAGTTCGTCGAATTTCATTCTGTGTTGAAAATATGATAGAAGCCTCTTCATCTAATGGGACTAAAATATAAATAATTTGCTAAAATAACAATTTAAACTCTACAATATTAAATTAATTTTTTTACCATTCAAAGCTATGCATGATGAATTTCGTTGGGTATAACCCGTAACGCACGAACAATTGTATGATCCTGGCAGATTATGACATGTTTGCTCACAAGTGCCATCAATTTGACATTCGTCAAAATCTGCAAATAAAAATATTAACATCATAAAGAATAGGAAATATGATTTATACCAAAACTTTATTATTATTCATTAATTACTTATTTTGATACTATGAAATTTTTAAAAAAAGTGCTTATAATTAAAAAACATTTTTAACTTCCCGAAGGAGAAGTTTGTTTTCATAAAAAAATCTGATTCGCTAATTTTATGTTTTCTCGGCGTTTCAGGCCATTCTGAATCGAATGAGACAAAATTTGGAAAAAGTGTGTGTGTGAGTGTGTGAACAGATTTTTTGTCGTAAATCGATGTTTTCTCAAAAACGGCTGGACCGATTTCAAAAACTTAAAAGCCATTCGATGTATCGCGATTCTGAGTCGATTTTGAAAATTCAAAAACTTATAACTGTTCGAAAGATATTAGTTGGAAATGATACTGATTAGTTTTAGTTGAAAATCTACCGACTCGTTTTCTTGTAATTCGTTGTTGAAAAAAAAATTGAGCCGATTTTTATGAAACTTTTTTTGATGATATATATCATGGTCCTATACAACTTATTGAAATATTATGGCCTTACGACAAGCAGTTTAATTTTGAAAATTCATCAAAGTTTGAGAAAATAATTCGTTTTTTTGACATTTGTTAAAATTACATTTAGACGATTTACTTGGTATAACGATAAAGTACTTGGTCTTAATGAATATACTAAACCATTAAAGTGCTGCGGAAACTGGTTCAATTATAAAAATTATTGATTTTTGAAAATTTGCTTTCAGAAAATACTCCGAGTTAACGCGTTCGTTCGTTTTCAATTATGTGTAATTAATCCACTCTGAATACTTTTAATTACTCATAAATTAATTTATTTTTTATTGATTAAGTCGATTATTTACACATATCGGGAAGTTCATGTAACTTGCCTCAAGGCAAAGTACCAATACCAACTAGTTTAAATTTTAATTATGTGAGTATTCATTAGTTTTATCGATATTTTAGTTGTTTTGGGTACTCCATAACTTAACAATTAAATTCAATTAAATGTTTATGTTAAGGATCAATGTGTAAATTGAGGAAACAATTTCGTAAGTTTATTAAAGTTTTTACATAAATAAATAACTTGTAGTGTTTTATTTTATACTCACCAACACACCTAGAACCATTAGGTTGCTGACCGTCTGGACAATAACACATTGGACCTTCCGGCGTAGTTCGGCAACCATAAGCACAGCTTAGTAGTTCGCATTGCGTTTTATTTTCTGTACAAAAACAGTACATAATAACACTAATAAGCAACAAATAACCAAAATGTGTACAAATATTAGGACACTAAAATTAATAAATATATTCGAATATGAGCCAATACATCCCTGTCAACATAACATCTTTCGATTCTGAAATTTTGCACTTGAACTAACACCACTTTTTGGCTTATAATCTTCTTAATATGAAAGTTTAGATAACACAATATACTTACGACAATGATCCCATTCATCGCTCCCATCGGGACAATCCCTGTGGTTATTGCAGAAGAGACTGAGCGGCCGGCACTCTAAGGTCTCACCGCAGCGTGCTTGATTTACTGGGCATGGATTTACGTGCCCACCTGGGAAAGGATTAAGAATGAAATGTTATTTATTTGAAGCATATTGAGATAATCCATATTTCATCCGTAATCTAGAAATTGTCAACATATCCCATGCGTTTCCACTATAATGGAAATTTTTAAAATCTCTGAAGAGGACACATGCCTCCGTGGCGCAATCGGCTAGCGCGTTCGGCTGTTAACCGAAAGGTTGGTGGTTCGAGCCCACCCGGGGGCGATATTTTTCTTGCACTTGCAAATCGACAAAAGTGCATTTGAAATCTACTTTACTAATATATATTTTAAAACAGAATTTATTTTATCTATGATCACTGTAATAATAATTCAATATTTCAAATACAACGATTGTGCATTACAAGTAATTTATTGATTTTTTTTTACAAATAACAGATAAGCTATTAATTAACTAGTGCGGTGTATGGCATCGTGCCTTAAGGCAAATTGCTGGAACTTCCCGTACCGTAACGAAATGTTCGAGGAATACTGAATGTTATCAAATCAATATTATTATAAATATTGTAGCATCGTCTACTATTTACAAGAATTAAATAAACTGAATTGCAAAGTTGAAATTATTTGTTTAAAGTATGTTAGAACTATAATCAGAATTAAAAATAAAATCTGAATTATTTTCGATATACAAAAGAAAATTTTTTTGAAAAAAAAAGTTAAAACAAATTTTTTTTTTTCAAAATCAATTATTTTGTTAAGACAAGCAGAAAGTTCTTTGAATCATTTATATCGGACGCTTAGTTCTCTCAAAAACTGCCATTTTTTGCACATTTAGCTCCGTATCTTCGAAATGGCTAGGCCTGCCTTTGCCAAAAACTAATAAACACTTCTCCCAATCACTACTAATTGAATGTTTTTTAGATCATTCAAATCAGATGCTCCGTTCTCTCAAAAACTCGATTTCTATTTTCTGCACTCTTTGCTCTTTATTTTCGTAACTGCTGAACCTGCCTTTGCCAAAAACTAATCAGCTCATCTCCCTATCAATAGGAATCGAATGTTTTTTGAACCATTCAAATCGGTTGATCCGTGCGCCCGAAAACGTGACTGGAAATTTGTATCCATACATACATGCATACACACACACACATCCATTTTTTTCTGAGGTATGCCAAAATGTTCAGAAACCTTCAAAAGGTCTAAAAATGTAAAAATTTTCAATTTCAATTTTCGGCCCATTACAATAACTTACCCTACGGGAAGTTGAAAATAAATTGAAATATAAACATTTTCCTACATGCTAATGACTGGTGAAACTGGCAACTGTCAAAATTAATAAAACTATCAAAGTTATTAAAGTGGTCAAAACTGATAAAAATTTACAACTAATTTAATAAGTGGTACTAGAAGAAACGTATCAAACTTACTTATAAGTATAGAAATTAAAATTGAATAATATATATCAATAGCCAAAATTACAAATAATTTATATTTATTTTTTCAATTAATAATAAATTAAAATTGGAATTTTAAACATGTGGATTTCATATACATATGTTAAAGACAACAAAATTTTATTGTTAAAACCGTCTATTTTATTAAAGTTAATAAAACTATAAAAGTTAGTAAAAAGTACAAAATAAAAGAGGTAAAAAATAAAAATTATTTATTCAGTGTTATTAGCAGAATCGTATTGATGTTTATATTTTAAAAACAGATCGAGTTCATCAGAATTTCAAATCATTATTTCAAAATTTATTTCATATGTTTATTTATGTCTACCTCTCATATCGTATTGTTGATAATTTTCACAATATACCACATATAAAAGTGAGTCACGAAAAAAATTATTTACTTAAAGAAAATCGTCATCCTAATTTCTTGTGAATATAACATACTGGAAACCTTGTAAAAACTGAAGAAAGATTATGACAAAATTTAGTGCTCTCTAAAGTAGAGAGTTACCTTTAAGTCTTAAGAAATAAAGCCATGTAAGGAATACCTAGGTGCAAGTAAAGAAATATAAGCATAAGCTGCAACACCTTACGAAGCCCTTATAATGCCCCTAAAAACTTGATATTTTTATGAAAAGCTTTATTACAAAAATGTAGCGTATCAAAGCACATGTATCACTTTAACTATTTCTAATATTTTATATTTTGCAATAATTTTGGTATGCTTAGCGATATGATATCTAACATCATAATTTCAAAGCAAGTAAATAGAATTATAGAGTTTTAATCCCCAGCGTCTTTTGAATTGATATATGAGAATATCCATAACTGAACACGCATTATGCAAACAGGAATACCTTATATATAATCCTTTATAATTCATATAATTTCTCAGTTCAAATTTATTTGCCTAATCGGATTAAAATCTATATTGCAAAACGATATCATAAACAGAACTTTATATCTTTTAATCTAGCAGGATCAAATAGATTAATATTGGTCAAATCATTTTTGTTAAAGAAAAAAATTATAACAAGCTCGATTATGCCAAGACTATTTCTGAGAAAATCTAAGTTTATCCATACAAAATCCATTATCAGAATTTGGAAGTTAAAATCTACTTTCATTAGCTTATACTTAAAATTATTTCCAGTAGTAAATCTAATCATAACACTTTATTATCTCTATTTCAATAAACATCGTCACTTTATCATAATTTGTTTGACAGAAAGATTTATCTCAATTAACACGAGTTAAATAAAATGACTATTAAAATGCCCCGATAATCGAGCCATCATATCCAAACCGGGGCTTAACTCCAAAATTGATTGTATCAAATAATGATTGTAGGCGTTGGAAACTCAAGCAAGTCATTCTGTTAATATCCTTAATCTATTCAAAGTAGATTATTTAACGAACAACCATCTAAAGTAATTGAGTCCTGAACTAACTCGGAATAGAATTATTTAGTACAATAGTGATAAATCGGAAATAACAACGCTTTTAGGTAAATCATATATCAGGATCCAAATAGAGCGCTATTGTTGTGGTCGATATGCCCCATGGTCTTTGTGTAAGATTTGCAATATATTCTCCTATATTATATAGCGTTTACTATAATTAAATCCTGTTACAGAGGCTTTGATAGTTGATGAAGTTAAAAACTTCTATCAACAATTGAAAATTATTTACGTTTAGCTGTTTTTGGATAAATGCTAAAACTAGTGGGGCGCATTGGCATCGTGCCTTTTAAGCATTAACATTTTTGAAAAAATTTTACTTCGAAAAAAATAGATTTTTGAAAAACTATAAATTTGACAAAAAATTACTTTTTTTTGAAAAAAAAAATTGTTTTTTTAAACAAAAAATTGTTTTGAAAAATAAATGTTTTCTTCATTTTGGCATATTTTGGCAATTCTGATTTTTTTTTTCAAAGCAATCGTACTGGTTTAACTGCATAGAGACGAAATATCAAAGCGCGTAAGCGCCGCGCCGACGTCTAAAGGATAAACATTGATACAGAACCCATAGGAATGTAAACAGAATTTATACTTGTTGTAAAAATCTCTATAAATTATCTGATAATTGCATTTTTTTTACTTTTTTCATTAGATCTCCGAAATCGCTAAACCTGCCTCCATGAAAATTTCAATCAATCAAGATCAATTCTTAATCTTGTCAATACTAGTAAAATGCTTTTTGAATTATTAAAATCGGACGCTCCGTTCTCTTGAAAACTGAGTTACCATTTTTGGCACTTTTTGCCCCGTATCTTCGGAACGGCTAGACTTGCCTTCGCCAAAAACTAATCAGCACGTCTCCTTATCAATACGAATCGAATGTTTTTTGAATTATTCAAATCGGTTGATCGGTGTTCCCGAAATCGTCGACGAAAATTTGTATCCGCACATACATACACACACGCACACACACACACATACACACATACACACACACTCTCACACACACACACATACATCCATTTTTTCTAAGGTATGCCAAAATATTCAGAAACCTTTAAACGTAAAAATATATAAAAAAAATCATTTTCTATTTTTTTGCGATTACTATAACTTGCCACAAGGGAAGTTAATTAAGGTATTTCAAAACTAGCCAAAAGCCTAAGCCTCACTCATATTCTCATTAAGGTAGAGAGGACATCAATATTATTGAGCATTAAAACGAAAAATCCGCTATAAAATAATGATAACTGATATTAAAGTGATTTTTAAGTCTCTTACATTTTAAAGGATCTTCATCTGATGTATCTTCTCCGAATCGATCAGATCGTCCGCAGTCAACATCACCATCGCATCTCCAACCCATAGGGATGCATTGTTTCGTCAGCTCGCATTGGAATTGTCCACTCCCACAAGCATCACCAGAAGTGCCTGAAAGGAGATTAAATATTTTACAACTATATATATTTATTGACTAATTGATATATAACTAGCTGTAAGTGGAATTCTGTCTTAAGGCAATTAGGGCATCGTGCCTTAAGGCAAATTGCTGGAACTTCCCGTACCAAAAATTATGATTTTTTTAAAAACGATTAACATTTTTGAAAAAAATTTACTTCAAAATAATTAGATTTTTGAGAAACTAGGAATATGACAAAAAATTACTTTTTTTTGAAAAAAAATTTTTACTTGAAAAAAAAATTTTTTTTGAAAGAAATTTTTTTTTTTGAAAACAAACTATTTTTTTGAAAAGAGAAATGTTTTCTTCATTTTGACATATTTTGGAAATTCTGAACTTTTTTCAAAGCAATCGTACTGCTTGAACTGCATAGAGACGAATTGTCACAGCGCAAATGCCGCGCCGCCGTCTAACGCATAAACATTGGTACGGAACCCATAGAAATGTAAAAAAATTATACTTATTGTTAAAATTTCTATACAATATCTGATAATTTGATGTGCATATGTCTAATCATCATTTTTAACCGCCGAATAGCATTTTTTTTTACTTTTTTTATTAGATCTCCGAAACCGCTAGACCTGCCTTCATGAAAATTTGATCAACTCTTCATCTTGCCAATACAAGTAAAATGTTTTTTGAATTATTCAAATCGGACGCTCCGTTCTCTTAAAAACTGAGTTACCGTTTTCGGCACTTTTTGCCCCGTATCTTCGGAACGGCTAGACCTAACTTCGCCAAAAACTAATCAGCACGTCTCCTTATCAGTACAAATCGAATGTTTTTTGAATTATTCAAATCGGTTGATCCGTGTTCCCGAAATCGTCGACGAAAATTTGTATCCGCACATACATACACACACATACATACACACACACACACACACACACACACACATACATCCATTTTTTCTAAGGTATGCCAAAATGTTCAGAAACCTCTGAAACGTAAAGATATATAAAAATTTTCATTTTCGATTTTTTTGCGATTACTATAACTTACCCTACGGGAAGTTAATAAATATGATCATTAGAATTACCACAATCTCTTGGTTCATCCGATCCATCACTGCAGTCGGCGCGGGAATCACATCGCCAACTAGCTGGTATGCATTGACCATCATCACATCGAAACTGTATACTCGAGCACGTGCCTAGAACAAAGGACAAAAGAAACCAATTTAACACAATTTATTAAAAAAAATATATAAATATAATTTATTTTTTATATGGGCTCGCCCGTAGGTATGCGGTTAAGAGCGACGAGACCTGAATCAGAGATCTCGGGTTTGATACCCACTTCGAGCAGCCTGTTGTCAGGCAGCAGTGACAACGATTTTGACTTGGAAATATAGATAGCAATATTTTTCCAAGTGAAAACAGCCCTCACCCGGCATTGCTGAACCAATAAAAATATTCGCCCTATTACATAATTGGTAATAATACAATAACATACAGGGATGTGACAACTGTTTGGGTTGCCATCTGTAAGCAGACTAGTATTAAGTCAAATCAGCACAACAGCTTGTAGGACTATTAGGTTCTGATTGCTGTTCAAAAATAATTTAAAAAAAATCATTTGATATAGCAAAACCGTTGATTTTATCACCACCGTAAGATAAACTTTAGATCAATACCATTTTAGTACTATATTGGTTTATTGTGAACATTAATATACCGTTAATTAAATTACATATATCATTAGTTTGATTCTAGAATTAATTTCGTTAACTATTTATTGTTAGTTAGTTTCAACACATCTGAATTTCGAGTTTACCAACAAAGAGTTACTTCGGACTTCGGGATACTCATTTGGGATTTGGATGAAACTTTGTTTGAGAGTCTAACTAAGTCAACTAAAGAATTGTAGGCATAAGAGAATTAGTTTAATTATACTTGAGAGAATTAAAGTGAGCGCTTTAGAAATGAGATCCATAGATTCATATAGTTTTATATTAGTAAAATACTACTTGAATCTAAGCAATCTACTTTCGAAATAAGGGATCGTTCAAGTATTACGTAAGCAGATTTATTACAATTATTTACCCCCCCCCCTCCCCTTTCTCATCAAAAGTAAGCAAAAGTTCTTACCAAAAATAAGCAAAATAAGCAAATCAATAACCCCCCGCCCCCTATAGTGCTTACGTACTACTTGAACGCCCCCTGAGAGGAAAAATTATTTATGTTCATTTGGTTTATTTTTTCAACTCGTCAATGTATTGCAAATATCATATGTATCGTTGAATTTTATGCAATTTTGTATTTATGCAAAATAAAATAAATTAATAATTTTACTGTGTAGACTGTTTTGTTAAGAGATGGTCAGAAGTGAGGAGCGCTAAGGTTTGGGGGCGTCCATTAATCACGTGAGATTTTTAGGGGAAAGGGCGGGGGGTTGGTTTGACAAAAAATCACAAAATATCACGTGGGGGAGGGAGGGGTATAGTAAGATATCACTTGAATTTATTTTTTAAAGATTTTTTTTTAAAGTTTAAATATTTTCAAAAAAAATCACAAATTTTATAGTTTTTTCACATAAATAAAAATACATGTGATGTTTGGTGAGGGAGAGGGGGGTTAATTTTGAATATTAACATGTATCACCAAGGAAGGGAGAATCCTTAAAAACTTGCTCACGTGATTAATGGACGCCCCCTTTCTAAAATAAGATCTTTGGAATTACTGTTGCACAATCGAGAAGAATAAGAAGAGATTTATAGAGTAAACGTTCATAATTATTATTTATTATATATAATAATTTAGACGACTTTCTGTATTAATTATCTCTATAAAAAAGACGATTCGAACATCGCGATCGATTGCGATCAACGATGATTGTTTTATAGTCCCCATGGTTCAGTTTCAACTACACAGTCCATTGTCCTAATAAAATCGAATCGTGTTAACCTTCTAAATTTGATCGTGCATATGTTAAAACATTCTTAAATAAATGTTTAGAAAATCCTGTCTATAAATGTCATAATGTTTATTAACCATTATCCTGTTCGTGCTCGCATGCCTTGTTTTGGATTATGCGTAGAAACACACATGTTGAAATTTCTATTATGAGCAACTCGATGTAAAAACAATAGTAATAATATATTTGTTTTGAATTTTTTAAATATCGAATATGATGTTTTGATTTCAAATACCTTAGAATTAAGACAATTGCTGATAGAATGTTATTTTTGCATCTGATTGCTATTCAATTATTGTTAAAGAGTACCTTAGAGTATTCCTTAAATACTGAGAAATAAATAATTCTAATATTTGATTTGATGGAAATTAATAGAAATAAGTTCTACCATAGCAAAAGAATGAAAATTTGATTTATTTGAAAATGTGTTAAGGGGATGAAAATATTAAGGTCGAACACTCGTATAGCATTCTATTGCTATTAATATCTATTCCTATGTAGGGATATAATATAGTGAGTATGAACATTTATTTATATGAAAATTTACACAGCAACGAATGCAATAATATTAAACTGGTACTTAATCAAACGCGTAACTGATGCAGACATAATTACATTGATTTGCAAGAAAAAAGGCATGTAATTCCATTGGTCGATTACGTACTGGTACATTTCAATATGAAATATCTCACGCTGCCAAAGAAACTGGTTTGAAACAACGCGCCGATCGAGAACGTCTAATTATTGGCAAAAAAAACAATTAGCAACGGTATGTTTTGAATCTGCTTTTGATTTAGAGCCGGTGGACTTAGAAAATATTAATTAAAATATAATGATTAAAATAATATAAAATTTTTATGTTTATTTTATTTTTTATGTTTAGTTTTTAAGTTATGATAATGCTATTCTTTGGATATGTGTTGGTAGAAAGAAACTATCAAAGAGCTATGTATTTGCAGTGCGATCATACGTTTTACACCTAAAACCTAACTTCACACATGTGTTATAAAAGAGACATCAGAAACTTGCCCTTATGCTAAAATTGTTATTTAACGTGGGTGAGTTTTGCAAATTGATAGTCAGCTACCAACTCATGCAAACATAGACTCGGAAAATTGGTGCCTATATCAAAAGAATTTATTTTTATTTAGAATTCCATCAACTACTTAAGCAATGAAAATTAAGTAACTGAAAGCAACATATATGTATTGTTAGAGGTGTAGTGTACGAGAAGTCATGAAATAAACAGCACATCAAAAGTTTTCATCTGTTTTACTGATCTTCACAGCATTGGTAATAGTTTTGGTTTAGCAGCAGAAATAACATACATATATGTTTGGCATCGTCGGTGGCATTTTGGTGTCATCGGTGGTTCCTAGTAGGAACTTCCTACAGTATATAGACTAATTCAAGATTTTTCCAGGCCTTTGCCAAGTAAAGCAAGAACGGAGTAAAAATGATATAATTATCACAATGATTGTGATTTTTGTATAATTGTATACAATTACTAGATTATTTTAGTAAAATACCAAACGTTTCTTCTTCCAGGCAACATTCATGCTAAAAATAGTTTATGACTCCACTATGAGTACCAAATACATTTATTTTTGTGTTGAGAAATTATCAAAATTCTATAATAATAATATTATGTCGACCACAAACATTTAGTCATCTTCCTATGATAATGTAATTATTTATAGAAACTATTTTTGAAGAAGTGATTGATTTTACCTAAAACAAAGAACTTTAGTATTTCAAGTTCCCCAATATCACCATATCAATCAATAATTAAGTTTTAAAATATACCTCATTGAGATGCATCGAATGGCTTTTAAATTTCTAAAATCGGTTTACGCGTTTTTGAGAAAACGTCAATCAAAGGTCTAATTTTGACAAATGCCAAAAGAACGATACTAATTTTGCAAACTTTAACGAATTTTTAAAGTTAAACGACTTGTCGTATGACCGTAATAATTTAATACGATCTATATATAACTATGAAATCTACCGTCAAATTATAAAAATCGTTGAAAAAAATGTTTTTGTGGGTTTGCCTTGAAATGTATTTTTTTTACTTAACCACAGAATCATCTTGAAATGTCGTGCTTATTTTTATAATTTTTAATTTAATTTTTCTCATGGGACCTTGATATTTTAAGGGCCTTGTTTTGACTATCAACTCAACCACCATGCAAAATTTCATCAATATCCCTGACGTATAAATTTAAAGTTTTCTTTGTTAGCTTTATTTTTTTTATTTTCATATTAATTACAATCGAAAACTTAATAATAACAGTTGCTTTTTCAGTTACTAAATAAATGGTAAACGTAAATTAGAAGTATTATAAATAAAATTATCATATCGATAACTCTAAATACCACATTCTTGTTCCGTGTTTTAAAGATTTTATATTTATTTTATAGACTTCAAACATATTGTCAAGAAAAATCGCCTTTTACGGGCATAGCTCATATAAAACCATAAAAAGTCAAAAAATACTATTCAGTATAAGTCATTAGTCACAACTGGATAAGACTTCTGAATTGTCTACCAAAAGTACCCAGTCAACAAAAATGATTGAATGTAAATTGAAGGATAATCCTCCTAAACGATTATTCGGATTTTGATCAATCTTTCTGAAGTTTGTTAAGGAATTTTTTTAAAAAAAATTTGATTTATAAAAATATAGTTAGATTGTAGAAATAAATGAAAAAAAAATATAAATAACCGCTTATCCTTGATTGTCATTGAAAATATTTGAGGCATTGTTTGACATTAAAAACAAATGAAGACTGTCATCTGTCTCATAATATAGGCAGATTTTAATGATTAAAACTATATTAATTACCCATACAAATAAATTTCCTTTACAACCTTTCTATCAGCCACCAGACTATAAATTCTGCACTCAAAACAGGCTCCCAAATGAGAAAATGAAGATTAAAAATAAACGAATCGTCGACCACGACCTTTGCACGAGCTTTCTTCGTTGAACTATAATACGATAGTGAACAAACACGCATCTTATTAAAAAGAATTCCAGTATGCGCCAATTATATTTCACAAACCAGATTTTAACGATTGACTAGATCCATGGACGATGATTGTATAGAAAATTAATATATAACAAGTATTATACTTTAACTGAAGATGAAAGGATGATCAGTGGCATACTACAATACAATACTACACACACACACATATTAGAATTGCAACCACCTGAAAAAAAGCGAATG